TAATTATACGATCTGGTTCAGATTTTGCACTCTAGAAGATATAGTCATCTTCTACGATTCTGCGTTTTTAGTTTTCTCGTATCGTCAAAATTGTGGATGCCACAGATTTTCGCCCTTTGTGGGGGCGGAAGTGGGCGGGGCAAAGTTTTGAAATATTTTTGGAGCAGTGACATATCACAGAAGTCTGGATCCAAAACATCGTTGCTCTAGCTCTTATAGTCTTTGAGCATTAGGCGCTGAAGGGGACGGACAGACGGACAGACGGACAGACGGACGGACGGACAGACGGACAGACGGACAGACAGACATGGCTCAATTGACTCGGCTATTGATGATGATCAAGAATATATATACTTTATGGGGTCGGAAACGATTCCTTCTGGACGTTACACACATCCACTTTTACCACAAATCTAATATACCCCAATACTCATTTTGAGTATCGGGTATAATTATGAGCTCTTGTGTTTTCATAACCGATACTCAAAACGAGTATAGGGGTATATTAGATTTGTGCCGAAAGTGGATGTGTGTAACACCCAGACGGAAGCGTTTCCGACCCCGTAAAGTATATACATATATTCTTGATCAGCAGCAATAACCGAGTCGATATAGCCCTGTCTGTCCGCCCGTTTGTCCGTCTTGTTTCACGCCTTGTTCTCAGAGACTATAAGAGCTGGAGCAATAAAATTTTGTGTGATATCATACTGAATCCAATTCGTTCCCAAATTTTGCCAAGCCCCCTTTCGCCGATGACTATATGTATTATTCCGATGGAATAGTGTAAATCTTAGAAAGATAAACCAGAAAAATGTTCTCTTCTTCCGAATCCCGGAATGCATTTTCAAAAGCCTGAAAGCCCTCGCAGTAGTCTCTTCTTCTTTTTTCATTATTTTTGTAAAGGTTTTTTCGCATGAGAAAAAAAAACTATCAAGAGGCAGCGCGGAACAGCAACAGCAGCGATGCAGCCCACACCTTGTGCCGGTGGAACTCCCCTCCACTGCCCCTCTCATGTTCATTTTTATCGTATTTTGCTGTTGGTTTTTTTTGTTACATTGCTGTTTTGTTGCTGTTTTGGCAGTCGGCCAAAAAATGTTGACGTTGGCGACGACTCCTCCTCGTTCTGTGCTTCTGCTTGCCGCTTGCCGGGTGGCATTCACTGAATTGGCCCACATTTGGATCTTGCATTCAATTTTGATCAATTTTACGCTTATTTTTTTCTACACTAGAGCGGGAAGGGGAAGGGGAGAAAAGCCTAAAAAAATCACTGTTTTGAGTGAAGTTTTCTAGAACGTCGGTTTGATTTGAGCCTTGCGTGTGGTGTGCTTTCTCATGTTCCTTTTCTTTGAGCGCTTTCTGCTTCTTCTGATTCTTCTTTTTTGGCAGGATTTTCCCTGGATAGCCCAGGTTTCATCGCCCCCTTTTATAGGTTTCCAGGACATGATCAGAGCTTTCAATGGTCCCCGTCTTTCTTTTCGTCTATGAAGCTAAGAAGCTAAGAGCATTTCTTTTCTTCTGTACTTCTACTTACCTTCTTTCCTCTTCCTCTGCCCACCCTTTCAACGTATTCCTCTCTTTTTGTTTTGTTTGACTGCTCAATTTGCGTCAAAATTTTCGGTTCTCTTCTGTCCTCTTTCTCTTTGTGTTTATTGTGATTTTTTGTTGGTAATTTAAACCGCTAGCCAAGTTCTTCGATTACCTGCGGGCCCCCAGACAATGGTCAAACCTGCCTCTTGGCCTCCGACTGGCACTACCTCCCTCCTTCCCCCGCGGTCGATCGACTCTCCACTCCCCAAAAAATCGAGCATTAATATGTTCATTAATTTAAATTATGCATAAATACTCGTTGGTGTCAAAAGAACTTGAAACATGTAGATTCGTATGAATGTAAAAATTGGAGAAATAAAAAAGAAAATCACGAATAAAATTTGATTTCTGACACACACCAAGCACACACACGCTATTATTTTGTATTCTTTTAGGGAACACCGTTGGGGTTTGCTGTAGGAGCACGGGTCAAGAGAATAGAGTGAGAATTAGAAAGAGCAACGAATGGTGGATGCTCTTATACCGCGAGAGAGGCGGGAGAGAAAGAGACTCACACACGTGAGTTTTCTTTATTTTGCCAATACAAAAAAATCCGACTGTAAGGGTTTTCGATAGATCTAGTGGGTAAGATAATTAGTGAAAAGATCGATGTATAGAATTGTAGCTGGATATTCCTGGATAGGGTATGCTTATGTGAAACCGGAGGCAGGAACCGAACACTCTACCCACTCAAATCGCTTGGAAAAATAGCGTGGATTTGTGGAACGTGCAACTTGCAGCGGTGTCGTCTTACATTTTCGTTACCAGAGTGCATTTTTTGCACTACGTTGCCTCTTCCTCTTCCATTCGGCTAATCTCCCACTCACTCGCGTCTCCCTCTTCCAACTCTTCTACTCGCCTCTCCCACTCGCTCCGCTCTGCACCACCACCACACTTTGAATGCATAAATTCTGCAAGGTTCAAGTATTTTTTTGTGCTCCTCCTTCGTCTTCCCCTGGAGACACCGACGCTCTGGCGCGACTGAAATCCAAGCTCGCTTTTGCTGAATTCTGGGCGACAGCTTCGTCATCAGTGCATTAGTGCGAGAAAGCAAGAGACAGAGAGGAAAAGAAAGAGAGGGAGAGAGAGAGATGGAAAACAACACAATTGAGAGCGACTGACAGAGCAAACAAGAAAGAAAAAAGGCTTTAAAGATCTAAAGAAACCGAAGTTTTAGATACCCTTGAGCCATTCGCTTGTGGACAATTTTTTAATTTAATCAATGTCAATCGAGAAGTGTCCCTGAATGGCTGATGGAATCGGTGCTTGTACACCACTACAGGGTATATAGTAAGTGCTCAAATCGTATTACCCTCTGGAAAGGGTATATACCCTACACGTAAAACGAAAAATATGAAATATATGTTCAAATTAATTATGCAATTAAGCACGCGTCGACCGATTGTTGGGGGCACCAACAACTGCCAAAACCCATAAACAATTACACAGGCAACAATGTCTGCTATTAAGTGGCAATATCAATCTGTTGCAAGGAGTGTGGAGTGCCACGCCACTTGAATGAAGTATAAAATAGTAAAATGGAATGAAATGAAGATTTCCTGCCTCGCAGTCGCATCGCACTGCTGGTTTTCCCATGAAAAATGCAACTGATGCAGAAATTCATACACGTAGGCGCAATGGGGCGTGGCAGACATAAATAAACATCAACGGAAAGGAATGGCAACGATAGATTAGGAGGAGACGGAGTGGGAGTGGGAGTGAGAGTGAGAGTAAGAGACAGCACTGCCATCATTCACATGAGATCTATTTGAGTTTTCTGCTCTTTTGGAGTGCTTTTCGCACGCCCCTCTCCCACACCTCATCCTCTTCTCTACCACTCACCTGGGGCGACAGACGCGTTCCGCCTTTATGTAGCTCTTTTGATACCTTGGACAGATAGGGTGTATCCAGGTAAACAGAATGATACAGATACAGATACTACTGTTGATAATGCCGAATGTTCCATTTTGAATATGAAACATCTCCATTTCAATCGGATGCTTATATCATATGGCTTGCATGGTGAAGAGAATTTATCGGTAATCTGTCATATACGCCATAGTTATTCCGAGGGTATCCAAGGCTTCGGTATCGCTTCGAAGCTCGTCTTTATTTTTTTGTGTTTATGGTCGTGCGGCGCGCTCTTTTGGTTTTATTAGATCATATTATCTATTTTGGTACGACAAATTTGTAATTTAGATCAACTCGACGCGATGGTAGTGGAAGCAGCAGAGTCGGTGGCAGAGATAGATAGAGAGAGAGGGAGAGGAGGGGCGGTAACCGTTATGGGCTTTTAATTAATTGGTTTTTTTTTGCATTTAATTGAAACAAAGAGAGAGAGAATAGGGGGCATTGCTCAGTGATGCGTGGGGATGATGGGATGCCCCAAATTGCTGGTTGATTGAATGATCCCCCAAAACATTGTGGAATACGCGGGATCGTTTACTGTTCTTCCACCGCCACCGTCCCCTCCATCTCTTATTCTTCTTTTCCTCTCTCTGTTCTATAATTTGTTCTCCTTAGTTTGCCTTTCTCATGAAATGCAATAAACACGAATTTAATTTCTGTTTTTATTTGCTTCATTTATTTACTTACCCCGGACGTACGTGCCACTCCACCTCCACCACCACTCCATACATCCCATACCGTCGGGCAAGGGACTCCTTATCAGCGGATCCGAATCAATGGACGGTAGGGACCGATGGAGCGACAGCGGTTTTATCACGTAACAAAAGTCGGAAAGAGAACACAAATTTAAAGTACAAACAAAAACTACATGACGAGGAATGGGGTTTACGTAAGAAAATCTCAAAATTATTACGCATTAAATTGGTTGGAGATTCGACATTCCAAAATTTGGTGCTCGTTTTGCATTCCGCAAGGAACCGGAATCGGAATCAGAATCGAAATCAAAATCATATCCGGAATCCACATTTGAATTGCTCTTCTGCGTGGCCTTGAACAGAGACCAAGAGAGAGAGAGAGAGTGAGACTTGAAAGAGAGCTTCAGTAAAAAGTCGGAAACCATTAGCAGATGACGTCAAATGGAAGTGGAAGAGAGAGGACACAGAGTGGCGGCAGCAGCAGCAGCAGGTAAGATCGAAGGGCCCCCTGTGATTGGGAATATGGGGGGGGTGAATCGCAGTAAGCGATGCCTTGGAATGCAGTGGGGTCTATTTCTCAGATTTCCAGAGAACACACAAAAAAGAGGGAAGGAGGGCGCGATAGAGCGGGATCGTGAACACAAGGAGCATTCTACATAGGGTGTCGCATGACCAGAGAACGCTCACCAGGTAGTCACCAGCATGGTATGCGACCCACAGAGCGCTGAAGAGTTACATAGTTTATTTGACCCAAAGAGAGCAGCATTGAGCCAAAATGTGACTAACTTAACAGGTACCTCCGTGACTTACCTTGTCAAAAATACACCTTGACTTGGAACGAAGAAGAAGCCGAAAACCAAACGTGACCGTCTGCCTTTCTCTCTTCACCACATACTCTCTTTATGTGGGCATGCAAACGCGGATGCAGCGGCTCAGTCACTTTTTGGATCCAACTTCGATTCTGCTCAGTACCTCCACTCCTCTGCGATGCCTTTCACTTCACTTCACTCCTCTCTCTCTACCGATCACCTCTCGATCATTGTTCCGTAATAAAGAAGTCAACATTTTTCCCGTCTCGTTCTCATTTTCGGCAGGTAGCGATGCTCTTTGGATCTCTTCTTTGCTGCTGCTGCATCGCTCTTGCTGCAGAGCATACCTTTACTTTACCTATATCTCTTTCTCTTTCTCTGTCTGTTGCTTCTTCATCTCTGATGGTTCCATAACCTCTGCTCGTGTGGGCTTAATAGAGAAAATGTATCGTCACCGCTCTCTGCTCTGTTCGGTCTCTTTTGTCCCTGCTCACTCCACCAGTCTCTTTGTTAGGTTGAACTTTGTGCGGCATCTATTTATGAATGAAATCTGTTTAAGCCTGAACGGCTAGCGGCTGGCCCTCCTCTGCCCCACCTCCGAAACTCAGGGCTGCTGTCGATGAATGAACGTGCAACACGGCGGCGGCAACACGGCGATGGCACAATACAGTTTTTGTCGCTGCAGCGAAGGCTGGAAAATTGATGTGGTAAGTGAATGGAAGAAGAAGAAGGAGTTACGGCACCCAAACTATCGCTCATTCAACGGTTCATTGCACAGCGCCATGGCAGATGCCAAATTAATGGAGCCGCCCACTCCCACTCCCTCCTTCCGCGCTTTGCTTGAGTGAGCAAATTGAGCCGCCAATTGAGCAGCAAAAAGAGACCGAGAAGCAGGAAGATCCGATACATTAACCCGTGCGAAGAAATAGAAGCAGAGAAAGGAAGCAGAACAAATTAAGAGCAAGGAAGCAATCCGAAGATTTGAATACCCTGCTATCCCTTTGAACGTCCAACACATCCCTCCCATTCGACGGATTGTTTTCCCTCAAAAATAACAATATGCGCTTATGTAGGTTTCGTTATGTACAAATATTTGTCATATGTACATATACCCATGCAAAAGCTGGAAAGATAGCGGAACACTCAGAAGAGATACAAAATCCCATATATTAACAGTTTCGCATGCGAATCGGGTGAAAAAGGTTATGTCCGTAGTCGAATGTGTGTGCCACGTTACAGTTACAGTTACATTTAGGATATTTGCCAATATATTCGCATCGCTCCCTCGTATGCGGCTAATCACTTCTTTGAAAGCATCAGCAGCAGCCCTGCAAGACTTTCAAAAAAAAAGAAACGAAAGCGAAGAAAAAACCCAACGGAGATGGATGCCTTTCTTTACCTACCCTTTCCACACACACTCAGATCTATGGATACGCTTCCAAAGAGTACCACAAATTTTTAATGAAGAAAGAGCTAAAACAAGAGTGTATAAATATTGCAGTATATTCCAGGACTAGGACGATCATAGTAGTGATTAACTCTGTTTTTGAAATATATAGATATTTATCTAAACTATTCAAGGCACGTCTTCTAACAGCGGTGATTAAAGTGAGATTAAGCCATATAGGATCATAGGATTCGTTTAAATTCAATAAAAAATTCTTAATTTTTCCTTATTTATTTCTCATACATAAAGCTACGTATGTCAGAAGAGTATCCAATGTGCGAATTTCTTTGTCTTTCTGTCTCTTTCTGTTTTTCCGTAGATCTGGCAAATGCTGCTTATCATGAACGTTGATCTATGACTTTGCGCGACTCTCCCCTTCAATCCGCTCTCCCACTCTACGCTCCATTCGGTGCGAGAGCTTGGAACGTTCGTTCGAACTCATTTTCTAATTGCCCCACGGTGGAATGGTGGAATGGTTGGATACGATGGTACACGAGCAGAGGAATGTCTATTCATTCGCAGTTCTCTGGCTCACTGGAGTCGTCCCCCTCCCACCGCCACCCCTCTCTCTCCTCCGTAAGCCATACTGGTATGTGTGTTTCGTTGGGATCTCGTTTCGTTTCGTTTTTTTTTTTCCTGTTTCCACGCAGGTTTAATTACCACGGAAGACTCGAAGACTCCGCAAAGAGAGCAGCAGAGCAGCCAAGGAAGAGAGAGGGGATCCGCAGATCGAATCGGAATTGGAATCTCGGTTTTAGCATTTGCATGGAGACCGACTGAAGCTCGACCGGACCCTCGTGAGCGAAGTGAGAGGTACAGTGGGACAGACAGACACAAAGACAGACGGGCAGACATACCGATCGTCTGCTATTTTAATTGAGTTCACAAATGTTCTGAACCGAGCCCCATTCACAGCTGGCGGCCCCCCTCCAACAACAACACATCTACCGATTTCTCCATCGCGCTGACAGCTACGTGCTGGGCCTGGGCCTGGGCCTGAACCCCATCTCTCCCCTGTCCATTCAGTAAGTGGAATTGAATGCCTAGTTGGTTAGTTAGTCGGAAATCAAGGCATTCGATTCTTCGATTATTCAATATTTTCACAGTGCTTGTGGGAAATTAATACATCATCAGGCCCCCAGGCACCCCTTAGGCACCCAGTGGGTACCGCGTACTATAACGTACCCCCATCTTCAGATTTATAATTAAAGCTGCCTCATACAGGTGTCTGTGTGTGTTTATAGAGAGATCAAAGAATTATTAATAAGCCGAAGTACTTTTCACGGCAAGATCTTTAGAAAATTATTCAATTATTCTCGAACGAATTCTGAAGTGTCCTTATGCATGCATACATATGTTCATTATTGTAGATTCCAGTTTCAAGATTTGAATTAGGGCACATTATGATCAAATATTCAAAGATGAGCTGTAATTCTCTTTCCGGAATCCCATTCAGAATGCTGATCCGGAATGAATCGTTTCGAATTGCTTTCAAAGACTTGACCTATCCTCAGATTCTCAGATACATATACATACATATGTATGTATGTAGCACCCGCACGCACAAGGAAATTTCCCATTTTCCTTTCCATTTTCACCTTCCCTTCCCTCTATCTGGCTGGTTTCTTTACAGTTCTGTGAACACTTGCCCAGAATCCTACCTAAGCCATTCCGTCTGTCGGTCTGTCTGTCGGTTCCTCCTCTACCTGTGTCAATGTCAAACTTCAGCGCTAAATTGTCGCTTATTAAATGTCTTTCGGGGCGACAGAGACGTAGACGGAGACGAGCGAGCCACTTTATCAAAGAGACAAAAGAAGCCGAGAAGAACAGAAGAGAAACTGAAATTCCACGTAGCAGAGCGTTGCGGCCCATTGTCGAAAATTATGACTTGTTTTGAGATTTGGGAGTGCAAATAGCTCACTTCCTGTCTGTCTCGCTCTCGCTCTCTGTCTCTGCCTCTCTGTCCCCCTACTGCTGTCCTGTCCTTCTTTTTCTCTTGTCTGTCTCTTGCGCAGACGCAAAAGCGCTCTGATTGCTGTCGTCGTTGCTTATGATTCCTCTTCTTCCTCCTCTTCCTCCATCTCTTCTTGTTGTTCTTGTTGTTGTCACTCTGCCCGCCGATGTCTGGCTGATAAGGAACGTACTGTTCGGAACGGTACGGTATGCGGGGAACATTTAACCTCTTTGTCTGCTCCTCCCCCTCCTTCGCTGCTGTTTCTGTTACTGATGTCGGCGGTGCGATAAGGCGGGGAGAGGGGAGATCTCTACGTGCTACCGACATGCAGCTCTTCCACTTCCACTCCAACTCTTATTTGGATTTATACGCAGGGCATGTTAAACAGGAGGTAAGGCAGGGCTTTAGTGAACAGAGAGAGAGTGCAGAGTGTCAGACACAAGAGAGTTTGATATATCCAGGGAATGTTAAAGACAAGGTCAGGCAGTGTTCTAATTATGCAGTGCATAAAGAGAGCCACATTTCCTTCTGATTAATAACCATGGAATCTACTCTCTTTCCAGGACTGGAAAGATAGTGAGAGAGGATCAAAGTGCGGAAAGTGTTGTCAGTGCGGAAAAGAGGCCGTGATCTACTACAGGTTATGTTAAGTAGAAAGTCAGGGGTGCCAAACACATACGGTAATCTCGAAAGAGCGATACTTTACCTCCTGCTTAATATATCATGGTTTTTCCAGGACTGTGACTGCTACCGGGGGGCGTGGCACCACCATTCATGCTGTGCGATCACATTACGTCGTAATGCGCTTCCGTTTTCTTCTGTCCGCTCCTCCCCTCACCCACCTACTTTCGGTACTAATGTGAGGCTGCGCAAAGGCGCCGCCACCGCCACCATTCATATTGATTTGGTAAGTCGGGGAGGACCAGTCCCAATCTTCATTCCGAACTCAGGCCAATCCAAATCCCAGCCTGCAATTACACTTCCGCCCAAGAAAGAAACAAGGAAAGACGTACACAAAAAACCGACAACGAAACGAAACTCGAAACCAACTTGCGATCTCCAGAGCTCTCCGCCATTCAGACTCTCTGTCTCTGTCTCTGAATCTAAGGCTCATTCACAGATCGAGAGCCCATTCCGTGGCCTATTCATTCATTCATGTTGATTGCCACCTTTGGGCAGCCCTGCCTCTCCATCAGCCTCTCCATCAGCCTCTCCAATCTCTCGGCCGCGCGCTGCCGTGGGGCAGCAGCAACAGACTCTTACTCTCTTGTGGCTTCAATGATTAGTCTGTGCTAATGAACAGGCGGCGGCAGCGGCTACCTAGCGCGCAAAAAAAAACACCAAACACCGAAGAAACCGAAAAAAGCGACTTAACGGAGACCCCAAGACGGCAGCAGCAGGGCAGCAAGCAAACAGAAATCAAATCCAATTTATGTTTTCAACATTAATCATAATTTTTTTTTGTTTTTTTTTGGGGCCCTCTATTCCGTGTAGCCGTAGCGTGAAATATTTTTATGCGCCGTTTTTACGGTTCCAAAGAGCAGAAAAACTCGAATTGGAATCGGAATTTGGAATCTGTGGGGGGAAAAACTCAATGGATCTTCCGCATGAGAAAAAGGTGTCAATGTCTAATTTTGTGATGCATTTTCTGTTTTCCTCATTATGAAAATTATAGAGTGGATCATCTGGGGGAGAACTGGATCAGTGGATCATTATTAATGGTGTGCGAGAGAATCGATACGATTGCTTTGGCCATGAGAAATCCCCACCAAAGAAAATTGAAAGATCTAAAGAAATGATTTCCAATTTCATATTTCTTATGTGGAGTAAATTCAAGATTAGTTTTAAGCATGTTTTTTATGGGAAAAATCAACCTGTATTCCTTGCTTAATTAACAGATCAGACATTTTGATATTTCTGTAGTTTTATCCCTGATGTCTTGGGTCATTCTAAGTACAGGTCATTTCATTTTAAGTCGGTAGCAGCACAACGGTGATGCCAGTTACGAGAAGAAACGAAGGATAGATCTGTTCTGTGGAGGAGAACCACTTGAAAAGCAATTTTTGTTGAAATTTATTTTCCATTTATTGCTTTATTTATTCTTCTACCTTTTTACCCGACAGTGTGTGGCCCTGGACACCGGTTTGGGCCCTGATTCTGATTCTAGTTCTGCGTTCTATCTGCTTATGCGATTAGTGAGGTCTAAAGGAGGAGCTCTCCCATAAGATGACGATACTGTCGATGAGGATTGAGGATGGGACTGCGACTGCCACGATGACGATGATGATGCTGCTCTTGCTCTCCTCTCGTTGTGTGTTTATTATTGTTTGGACCCAGAGACCTTTTTGTTTGTATGCATTTTCGATGAATAAAAAACGAAGACGACCACGAAGGGAATCTGGTCTCAATGGGCGCACAACAGCATCCATGGGTCGAGGCACAACAATCGAAAGTAATAATGAAATCCCATCAACAGGCAGTAAAGAGAATGAGAAGCAGGAACAACAAAAGAGATGCGAGATGCCCGGGGACAGGGACAGAGCCCTCTTCTGGCTAGTGCCCACCATTCTCCCATTCCCATTCTTATTTCCAATTCCTTTTTCGGTTTTGCAGCAGAATGAGAATGAAGGAACGACGGACGTCTCGGACGACACTTGCCTTGATTTTTATTATGGCTCTGGTCTCAGGGCTTTTCCTTCCCTTTACATTTTTCTGCCTTTTGATTTATTGTTAGCCGGAAAGAGCGAGCCATGTTCTGGCTCTATGGGATCTCTCTGGGAGTGCGATCTCGGGTCGGTTTCGGCTTTTTCAACTGAAATTTCAAGAAAAGGTAAGGTACGTGGTGTCACTCTCTCTCTTTCTGCATAAGAAATTCGTTGAATATTGGGATATGACGTTTATTCGGTGTACAAATTTATCATAAGCTAAGGAACATAATTCACTACGAATAAAACGAACACAGACCATTCGTCACAACCGATTCTAGTATTTTTGCAATCAATGAAATCAACTTACATATGTTGTATGTTCAAATAGCTTTCAAAAGTTTTTATTTTTTTGTAAAATTGATTGGAGGTATTGGAAGAATATTTGAATGTACTGACAATATTTTAGAAATTATCTGGTTTTTTTTAGTTAAATGGAAGAACGAATTAGAATGTGCTTACCTTCTGTCTGACATACCTTTCTAGATCTTATTCTTGTTGCCTGTTGCATACAAGAATGTGCGTGTCTCTCACCAAACAACTAGTTATGCTCTCTCTCTCTCTCTCTGTCTCTTTCTAGTTTCTATTCTTGTAGACAGTTCATTAGTGCCATCAACAAGTTGGGTGGGGGACATAAAGGATGATGGGACCTAACCCTACCCCATGCTTCCCACACACCCTAGTTACCGCACCAACAACAACTACAACAGCTGGGAGGCAGCTTTCCAATTGCAGGAGGAGGTTTGTGTCCCAGCTAAAGTCCGATGTGCAACATGCAACATACAACACTTGTTCGATGACCCAGAAAGTAACGGCGATTGACGACTGGTGGGGACAGTGGCCATTCGCCAAACTGGTGAGCCGCCCACCCAAAAAAGGACATAACCACATGACTGTCAATGCAGCGAGGAGGAGAAGGAGGGGATGGGGGATAGTTGTCAACTGGAATCGATCGATATGGCTCTGACATTTATGGACAGCGCTGACCAGATGAACTACTTTCAAGCTACTTGCAACGCGAATCAGGCAGTCAATATACCGTTAAAAAGACGCGACACTCACCTGTGCAATTGGAGAAGGGAGGCGGAGGCGGCCCGATTCCGAAGGGCAATCGTCGATTGAATCCGAGAATCCGCAGTCAAACGGTAAATATTTTGATTAGATTTTGATCACTTTTAAGGGCATTTTTGCCATTTTTTCCCACAGAAGACGAAAGACGACGAAGAAAGGCAACCCAAATACTCGTAAATAAAATAAACCTATTAAAGATTTTATGGCATTTTTAAAGCCTTTACAAAAACAGACACTGAACCGCAATTTGTTGTTTGTTTTTGGGTGTAAATTCGAATTTTATGTGGTTCTCTTGATCTATAGGCACATCCGCTGATCTGATGTTAGGAACTGAACGGATCCGATGATCTATAGGCGACCGATCGATTAGATTCACGCTGCTCTTCGGTGTCTCTTCTTTCTCCGTTTGTCGTTGGTTTATCGAATGAATGATGTGAATATAATTTATTGTTATTATATGTTTGGATTTGTTTTTGGGTTTTTTTTTGCCGGTTGCCGTTCTACGTGTTTGCCCGTTTTAAAAATAAACAATCTCTTGGCACACGCACTTTTTTCTCGCTCCACGATTTATTTTGAGAATTTTCTTTGATTTTTCACTATATTTGATCCCTCTATCTCTCTCTGGCCGAACTTGGATTCGTTACTGTTAATTGTATTAACAACAAACAAACAAAAAAGTAATAACAAAATAAAACTTGGCTCTGATGGGAAAACCAATTCACACTCACGGTAGCAGTAGGCTTTCGAAAGGGGATAAGCAAACACGATTTGGGAAGGCGCCAAAGCAAAAGCAGGTTTGCTCCACTCTTCTCTCGCACCCGACACGTCTGAACTGCTTGACGGCACGAAGTAGAGTGTGCGCCTCGGAGACGACCGAGGCGGCCAGCAGTCGGTCGGGTTGAGCATGTCCGAGTGCAGAGCCGAAGCGACGATTGGGAAGCTGCGCGCGCTTGCCTGCAGTGAGCGGAGTATCGATCGGGTCTGATCCTCCCACTGGTCGGATTCCTGTTTCCTGTTCCCCACCCCACGCCGTTCCACCACCCAACACGTGCCAAATTATTGTTGTTTTGATACCCTTTTGCAGTGGTATAATGAATTAGTGGAGGTGTTTGAAAAAAATGTATTATTTGCCCCTCTCTCCAGTACTCCAGGCAACCACGCCAAACACCTCTCGAAAAGAAAAACACATTTCTAATTATTGTGGATTTCGATTTTTAATAAACATATATGTTCTTTTATTTTTTTGTTTTGCCTGCTTATGCGCTCTTCCACTCCCACTGTGTGTTTCGTTCGTTTTTACATGCATCTGCACAGTGGGTGCTGCGGCACTATCATTATTCGGTATATGATATATGTATGTATGTATGATGGGGGCTGGCTGCATATTTATTTCACGAATTTCCAATTCCATTTTTTCATCGAATGTTAATTTAAAAACATTTTACACTGGGGTTTTACATAGGAAAAAAAAACATACTTCATCATAATAATAAAAAATATAAACTATCATTATAATAATTAAAATGCTTCTGCTATTGAGCATATCCTTTTTGTTGCTTATTGCCTGTTCTTTCGTTACTTTTGCAGCATTTTTTCAGTAGTTTTTCTGGATTTTCTGTTGGCTAGTATGCGGTTTTTTCTTTTTTGTAGAGTTAGTTAGGCCTTAAACTTTATATATTGTTGTTATTATTGTTTCTGTTTCTGTTTCGTTTCGGTTATCGTGTCGTCTCACTTCTTCATATGGCTGTTTTTTTTTGTGATATTTCATTCTTATCGTTTCCTTTCTGAAATATTTTACTTAGACTTAGGGATCGAAGAAGCAATCGTAGTTTTGAAGTTCGACACACGCAGAACATATCGTAATTGTTATTTTTTCTTCCGCGTACAAGTTTGTACGATATACAATATAAAAATTGGGGTTCCTTTTGTTTTTTAAATAATTAAAAAGCTAATTTCGGTTGCTGGTTTGCGTGTTGTGTGGGCGTATCGCCTAGACAACTGGCGGTTCGGTGCCTCCCAAGGATTCATCGTTACTAAAAGGCGAAAAAATCAAAGAAAAAATAATATAAAAATAAAGTAATTCAAAAGGAATATTAAGGTAATAATCAAATTAAAAACAACTATAAAAAATCGATAAATTGATAATAGAATGAAAAAGGAACAAGGGACTTTTTTAAAGTTAAAAATCTGTTTTCAACTTTTGTCGAAAAAAACCAAAAAGGAACGATAATTAATCAAGGGGGAGTTAACGAAAAGTGATATATGTATGATTAAAAAAGGAATAATTCGAGAGTAGCACGATAAATAATTGATTATTATCGAATTAGGGTTCTAAACACCCAGCAGCACACTCAGAGATCCTGTGACGAAAGGGGAGGTATTTGAGGATCGTTTAAACAGGGTAAAAGCCTTATCCACATGTCATTTCAAAATTATTCAATATTTTATCTTAATGTTCCTCTTGTAGGTAGGTTTGTATATTGCGTTTCAGCACTGTAGGTGTTATTTGGAATTGCGTCTTACAGTGCTGAAACGCATTGTATTTGTAGCAATACTCATTGCGCATGCTTTTTATTCTGTATATTATTTATAGCTATGGTCACAAAGCAGTTCCTAGTTCGACTATACTAAGTCCTAATTATCGGATTGGATAGTAGTTCATAGTAGTAGTATCCGTAATCGTGGTGTGTTGTATTTCCTATATATATGGCGTATGCCCTATAATATTTATGACTTCCTATCTATCTACCTGTTGCATAGTCTATATGATATATATTCCGTAATTCAGCGGTATATATTAAGATATAGTTTACGATTAGTAGCATTGTAGAGTGTGGTAGGTGTGTGTGCCCTGAGCTTGGCTGTAAGTCGGGGACAATCCAACTAGGAGGATTAGCTTTTCAACAATACTCGTACTGAATGTACATATGCATATTCCATTTGGTGCTAACTACATGTCTAAAAAAAACAAAAAAAAAAGTTCCATCGTATCCTCTAGGATTCTTCCTAGTCGCTTATCCGTTATCTATATGGTATTAAAGTTTACATATGTGGCTGATTTTTTATATACTTTGTATAATATAACATGATATTTTTTGTAATGATATGGCACGATAATTTCAATTGTAAAACTCTTCAGATAGTTTTTAGATATAAGGGTGGCACTCCCTACAGCAATAAACAATACACCATATCGATTACTGTTTCGACTACGGATTCGATTCTACTTTTTGGTCTACACTAAAACAGCTTTTTGTGGTTCGAAGCTTAGCTTGGGGCCGGCAGCAGACACAAAATGATAGTTGCCAGCGATAACGATAACACATATGAGTATTGATAGACATGCGCCGAATTCGATGGCAGCTGGCCTAGATTGGGCCGCGGATAGATGATGTGCACTGGCGGCGGCTGATCCAGCTCATCGAAGAAGCTCGGATCGCTGGTATCGAACTCGTGATAGACGAGGCTCGAGGGATTCCAAGCACTGAGTTTGGCGTATGTGGTATTTGTATTTATAGTTGTATTGTTAAGTTAATTGTAGTATCTTTACAGGATATTATTATGGGACAGGAGAAAACTACTTACACTGGACAGGTGTCCACATTGACGGCATTGACGCCGGCTTGGCCCAGATTGATCTGACCCACGGCATCACCCTCAACCACCACGATGCAGCCGACAAAGTTGTGCGTGTGACGTCCACCCGTGAATTGTGAAATATCCGGAATGCCACCTGGAATGGGATTGGGGAGAGTTGGTGGACCTTTAAGGATTACGGATTACGGCTTCTTACCTATGAACACATTGCCCGGCAGTTTCATCTCCTTCTTGCCGGTGGGTCGCGTCTCACCCGAATGCGATATGCGATCGACCTCAAGAATGGCCGTGTTTTCCACTCGCTTCACAAGCACAATATGCCGCTGGCCATCGTCCACGCGGGTGTCACTGTTCTTGATCACCGTCTCCTCACCGTTCAAACGCAGCGAGTACTCCACATAGCCATCAACAACGGCCAAGGCGATAAAGTCCTGACCCACATACTCTTCGCCAGCCACCTGTCCCCACCAGAGCAGCAGCCCATTCGGTTTGCTCGTGGAGAAGACCATGGCGGCAGAGGTGAACACCTGTTCCACGGCGGCATCAAATTGATTGCGATTGATTTCCAGGTAACCATGGCCTCGGAACGAGGCATTGAAGCCCACTTGGATGTCTGTTGATTGGGAAATAGAGATCAAAGATCAGAAATGGAGTACAGAATGATGGGTGGCTGATCTTCCAACTTACGTTCTTGGCAATGCTTGCCGCTGTAGCCCAAGGGGCAGGAGCAGAGCGCCTGGTTCTCCGCTTCGATGCAGCTGCCACCGTTCTCGCAGGGATCGCTGGCACACGGCGCCATGTTGTAGGGCTGCAGTTGCTCCTCCTGATTGCTGGTTGCATCTGGCAATGGAGCCGGTGGGTCCCCAGCGGGAGCCACTGGCACTTCGCTATCGCCGTCAGCCTCGCCGTCTCCGCCATCTCCGCCACCGATCTCATTGAGTTCGCCGCAATTCTGGATATTGGCCGCATCCTTGATGTCCGCCAATAGCTGAATGGAGCGCTGCGAGTCGTATAGCTTCGAAATGCACCCATCGAAGCCATCCGTGATGTTCACGTCTCGGTTGATCTTCACCGAGGCCCGATCATAGCCGCCCACATACAGAGGCGTCTTCAACGACAATGTGCGCGCCGTTCCCGAGGCCTTGGCTCGCTGTTCTTGGCCCTCGCCTACTCGCAGTATGCTTTCGCCCTGGCGCCGCAGCACTTCAATGCGCGTCCATCGGTGCAGGGGCAGGGGCTCCGCAGAGCGCACAACGACTGGACGCAGTCGTGCCGCCGTATTGATCAGCAGTTCTACATGGCCATCGCGCAGCACCAGCGCCAGATAGTCGCCGCTGGGGAGCTTGGACTCTGCCGCATAGAGGAGCACGGAGTCACGTAGGCTCGAGGGCCGCACGGACAAAGTGATGTTCACACGTGTGACACGGGGGGTTCTATAAATCAGAATGGAGTGTGCCATAAAGATTGATTCAGATTCCATAGCTGTCGGATTACTCACCCGTAGGCTGCATAGCTGTTCCGCTTAAAGTTGAGGCTCTGCTCGTTGAGGTGCTCGATGTACTGGCATCTGTCGCCGGTGCGGTTCAGGGGACATAAGCACTCCATGTCCAGGTCGGTGTTCTCGCAGCGTCCGGCTCCGCAAACGCCTGGGGTGCACTGGGTGCCGGAAACGGCACAGTTGCGGCCGGTCCAGCCCTGCTGGCAGACGCAGGAGTAGGCCACCTCCGTCTGGCTCTCCAGACAGATGCCGCCGTTGGAGCAGGGGTTTTGGGCACAGGGCTGGCAGCTAGTGATGCCCTCCTTGAACTTGGCCTCGCGCATTAGCTCGACGGTGCGGCTCTGCAGGGTCAGGCGGCTGATGCAGCCAACGAAGCCCGTCTGCTGGGTGACCGCGTCTGCGGGCAGCAGCTCCCAGCTGGGAACGCCACCGATGTACAGGTCTTCGATGAGATCCAGCGGTGGGACTTGCGATAGTGTGGGGAAGGCCACTGGGTGCTGTTCGTCCACCTGCATGTAACCATCCCGCCTGGAGCGGTGCACGCGCACCGTGTGCCACTCGTTCAGCTGCAGTGGCTCTTCGGCTCGAATGAGCATCGGCTTGCCACCGAAATCGAAGCGGAACTCCGCGTAGCGGTCCTTCAGCGAGAGGGCTATGTAGTCGCCAGTGCCACGCGTCTGTCCGTTGAATAGAAGCAGTCCGTCGTCGCCCTCCGGTCGGAAGGTGATCTCAAAGTTGAGCTTGAACGAGGAGTCCGGTAGCGTGGGGAAGCTCATATAGCTGCGCGGGGCCTGATGGAAGTGTGGAATGGCTCCGGTCACCACCAGTATGCTGGGATAATCCACGGACTCTCCATCTCCGTACAATGCCGTGCAGATGTAGGTACCAGCATCGTTGGCCTGCAGATCCTCCAGCGAGAGTTTTTCCTGAGAGAGAGGGAAAGAAAGTGTATCGAGATGGAGAGGGATGGGTGCTGGCTGGACTTACGCCTAGCAGGGATCGTCCTGGCTGGAGCTGTCCGTACTGTCGGGACCAGCGGTAGCTGGGCTGGCGGCTAGTATCCGCCCCGCACTGCAGCTTGGCATCGGCCCCCACCTTCGAGTGGACTATCTTGGAGCGCTTGAGTTCATGGGGCTGTTGTTCGATGGTCAGCTCGTAGCTGGTGGTATACAGATCGCCCTCATCCGTCCGGCATTTGCACACATATTGACCAGCATCGGCGACAGTCACATCAGTCATCACCAGGCGGTTGCCGACTTGCTGCAAGGGTTATTTATGGATTAGAATCTACAGAAAGATCAGAGATTCGTTGATGTGATGCTCACCTGAACGTTGGGGCTGAGGGGCTGGCTGTCGGCCCGCTCCCAAACCACATCCGTGTAGCTGTTGTCTGAAGAGTAGCACTCCACTTCGGTGGACTCACCCGCTCGCAGATTCGATGATTGTTGGTCCAGTTTTAGGCTGTAGTCCCGAGAACGGCCCGGCGTTGTGGCCGGTGGCAGGTAGGCGGGACGGTACGAAGCCGGCGGTGGCGTTGCTGGAACCACTGGAAGACCCGCTGCAACGTGCCCACGGAGACACACCAATACGAAGACAGCACAAGGACAAAGACAGCAACCAGATCGGAATCGGTCGATCGATCGGGTCGGCGCGTAACGTTCACAATTTCAGCGACAATTCACAAAAGGTGTGCAATGGTGCATGTATGTGTGTGTATACAGGTGTGTGTGTGTGTGTGAGTGTATTGGTGTATTTTTGTGTGTAATCGTTTAAAATGGATATAAGAATGGGTAAAAAATACACAGAGAGAGAGAGAGAGATAAAAAAGTTAGCAAAATTTATATGTCAAGAAAATGGCAGTTTAAACAGTAAAGTAGACAATAATTATCGAACGATAAATCAATATATATATATATATATATATAACTATATATCAATATATATAGTCCATGAGAATTATTTTTTGTTTGAGTAGTTTGCATTTTGTATATTTAATTATCGATTTCATTGCTTAAATTTCATACGCATGGATAGTTATCGATAATATTTAAATTAAACGATAACTGTTGCATAGCCACCAGACATACATACAAAATGAATAATGACCACAAACCTTCATGTGATCAATCACTTAACATATCAATCGATGGCATTGGTCGATCAAATTTTGATAAATATCGATAATATGTAAATGAAACGATTCCTATTCAATGACGATCAGATATGCATATGTACATATATCAATACTCATGGTATGAATGATCATGTCATTCGTCATTCGTTTAATCGATTTCTTAACACATCAAACGATAAAGTGTTGATAATTATTGATCATATGTATATAAATTGATCAATTTTCACAAACTATCAGACATATGCACATCGATTCTCATGGTATGAATGAGCATGGATTGTTCGATTAACCGTTCGATTCATATTGTACTTTGCTTTGTTTTAGTCGTTTTGTTTTTTTTTGGAATTTGGCTTCCTAGTTAGACAATACAGAGATATGGCTTACATATACATATACACATACATATGCATATACATATACATATACATATACATATACATATACATATACATATACATATACATATACATATACATATACATATGCATATACATAGTACATAGTATGCATATGCATATGCATATACGTAAGTATGTATAGAGAGAGAGAGCAACAGAGAAGGGACTAGGTGGAGTGTGGTGTGGTGATGGATACTACTATGTGTATAGAGAGAGCTACGATTACTCGAATACTGCTACGGATTGAATCACACAGAATACGATTACATATGTGGTTGGGTGGGAGGGCTTGGGTTACAGATGGGTAGATATCGATAGATATGTAAATTGAATGGTCGGATTGTTGATTATCGGAATACATTTTGATCGAATACTCAAACTATAATTTTGATTTGTTGTTTTGGTGGTTTCGTCACAAAACTACGAGGTACAGATACATACATACATATATAAAAATATTTCGTTAATTTTACAAATGTCCATTGCTTAACTATCGTTTATCGAATGTGTCTAATGTGTATGTTTGTGTGTGTGTATGACGTACTATTTACAATAATTTCGTAGTTCACGGGGTTATTAAGAAAGCTCTATTTGTATATTTTTTGGAGTGTGTGTATTGTTAGTAACAGTAACCCTTATCGGCCAGCCACATGCAAATTAATCGATGACAGCAAGACATAAGAATCGATTATGCTTAACCGATGTATACCACTTGTTAGGGCGAACTCGGAACCTTTTAGATGTTTGGTCTTCTTAAAAGCTGCAAACGTTTAAGTATTCTGCAATCGATTTGTTATCGATAGGTTTTTGTTATGTCTTAAGCCTCCAGAAACCCGTTGCGAGTGCGTGCCAGTTCTGCTTTTTTCTGCGTATTGTTGCTGTGGTGCTGTTGGGGGTCGGAGTTCAATCAGAATCTGAATCCGAATCCATGTCCAATCGTTGAGTTCAAGTTTTGTGCACCCACGAACAGAGAATTGTTAGATAGCCACAGGAAAGTCAGGGGATAGTCAGACGGGTATTGATAGATAAAGTAGCAGTAGTAGTAGAGGAAAAGGGGATGGGGAATTGGTAAAGATAAATATTGGCAGAAAATGAAGACTGGACCAACCGAAGCTTCTCCTCAAAATCAGATGACGCTTCTGCAGCCGTCGTTTTCCGATTAGATGATGTTGCTGTTCCCCGTCCATCTTCTGGCTTTTCTTCCAGCGCTTAAGGCTGCCCGATCCCGATCCAGATCCTGAGTTCGATGACGACTTCCCTGTCTTGCCGGCAGTTGCTATGCAGTTGAACTCGTCCGAGTGGTCCAGGCAGTCGTAGATGCCATCGCACACCATGCCCGTCTTGATGCAGGTGTGCGGATGCGAGACGCATTTGAAGTCGCTCGGCTGACACGCGTACGAGATGATGGGGGGACGGATGGTGCCGCCAGGAGCTAGCGGCTTGATGGATGACCCCTTGTTGCTCTTGAAGTCTATGATGGCGCGGTATTTTTGCATTTTTTTGATTTTGATCGATATTTATCGATTTTATTTTGTTTGTATTTGTGGTATTTTCCAATTTAAAATGCATGGAAATAAACGATTAGAAATGTATGCAGCCGCCTCGAAGCCCATGGATGTTAGTAGGCACCGACTCGCACCGATCATATATGTATTTAGGAGTACGCCCACTATCCTACGAACTAGAAGGTAGGTACTACATTTATCGTAAGCCATGCATGCTCTAAATTGTTATCGGCCATCGACCAGGGATGGGTGTGATCGGCTATCGCTATCGAACTACTCGTAAGTGCTGGGGAAGTATCTTCAAACGATTGTTTGTTTGGTATTACTTTTTTTTTTATAAAACTTCTATGGCTCTAAGGTTAGGCAGTATGTAATACAGATTGATAGATCATTTTGGATTAATAATACAATACAAATTAAAATAAAACAAACAGAAAAATAAAAAAAATAAGAGGCGAACAAAATATAACAAGTAAAAATAAAAAATACAAAAATAATAATGGAGGACTGTTCTTTTTTCATAGATTAGATTTGATTGGGCGGCAGTAGCGGTAACACACCTGCAGCACATATATAGAAAACCACGCAGGGCATGTCTTTCACACTCTGCCCGACCTTGTATTGATATGGGGCTCCTATGGGTTGTAGAGTTGTAGTAGTTGATTGATAGGTACGATTGATTGTTGCAGTTGCATGCCATACCATAAGATTTGTTTGTGTTTTGTTTGTGTGTGTTTTGTTTCAGAGGATCAGCAAAAGCGCACATATCATATATCATAAAGATCATTTTAGGTCAAAGGTAAATGTGAGAGTATTTTTTTTTTTTAGCAAGCGCACATGTGGAAAGTGGGAGAGAGAGAGAGAAAAAGCGTGTGTGAGAGAGAGAGAAAGAGAAATAAATATGAAATTAATAAAAAGTGTTCCATTTGTTGCCCGACGACATTCAAGAGATCTTCTACGCTAATGAATACTTGTATTTATCTTTGCCCTGCATTCAAAATACTTCTTATTTTCTCTGGTTGTTTGACTGATTTGATCTAAACTCATGACAATAAAACTTTGGTGATATTAGTCGATATTATTTACAATTGATTTTTTGTGCTTTTTCGATTTCGATTTTTATCGTAATTTTTTTATATATTGTTTTGTTTCTTTTGGTTGTGCAGGTGCAACTTCTGTGAGGATAGGAAGAGATTAGAAAATAAGGAGAGAGCGAAGGTCTAATGGATAGATAGAACCAAAGATTAAAGAACGCATAGATGACGTATATTTTTCCGACTCATTCATTTGGATATGCGGAATGGCAAAACCATGATATCTAACGAAGAGAATGAGAGCGTAAGCCGTTCATGAGCCATCTGAAAACGTGTGCACATGGCACATCTCGAACGTCTTCCCATGACATAGTTGTCTTGGCCCGACAACCAAGGAATTCAGTATATTCCTATCACTATTGGAACCCGTCCTAAAAATTTGTTCCTTTTATGAGATACATCATCTATATGATCAATAACCTTTGATAGAACATAGAGAAAGAGAGAGAGAGAGAGAGTTGTTTATACATGGATTGAGAGAAATGAAGATAAGGCGATAAAGATTGGGAAAAATAAGGGGAAAAAAGAAAAAGATATATAGTGTGTGCAGTGCTTATATTTTTGATCATTTACAGTACCTATTCCTTGATTCACACATACATAAATTAATACACAAAAAACACAAACAAACAAATGACCACCGATAAACCACTAGAAAACTATAGTATATTACGGTAAAGAAAGAGAGACCATCACCAAGGGGGCCACAGGACATCCAAAGTGAAAGTAACATCCGATGATACAACCGACACCAAATAACAGATTCAAATATTAATAAAGCAGAAATAAACGTCTAGCCCCGGTACTCCGAGGCTTCAAGAGCCCATGCAGACCTGTCCAGTAGTTTCCATGGTTAATTGGAGTCTTATGTTCTTCTATTGAAAATAAGTTGCCGTAGACGGGTGTTGGCCAAAGAAAGATCGAATGAGATCGAAGCTTATGGGAATTAATTTTGTGACAATTCATGGAATGGAAGTTCTATCCTGTCCTTGTGGATTGTCTGCAAGGGTGAAATTCCCTGTTTATATTGTTTGGGTCCCCAAGGAGAAACGCAGACCAACTAAGGGGCGGAGGAGCTGTTGATTGAAATCTGTTCGTACAGGTTATGTACATATATGTATCTATATGTCTATGTATAATCCAAAAGATAATCATGGACGGACAATATGAGTACTTATATATGTATGTATAGTATAACCTTTGGCAAGGGCCTCTGCAAGGGCGTTGAATGGGTGAAATAAAAATAATATGTTACAAGTTTTTGTTTTTTGTTGGTTTGCTTCACACAATTTCTGCTGTGCAAGTAGTTATATTTTTTTGTATGTTAATATTATGTTTTTATTTCGCATTATTTAGTGGGGAGTTTGTGTTGGCTTAAGAGTAATGGTATCGTATTAGAAGTTGTGTTTTCTTGGCAGCCATTCTGGTAAGCTTAAGATTTATCAAGTTGTAAGAGTGTGTGTGTGTACATAGATTGGCAGATTTTGGCAGAACTTAATATTAGTTGTGTTTCAAACAAAAACAATTTGGAATATTTCAGAATTAAAATATCGGCTTTGCATGCAGTGAGCGCCAATATCCGTATGGCTCCATCACCAGAGAAAGAGAGAGATAGTGTGTGGGGGAGGGACTATCGTTTTATATGTGTTGTATTTGTAATGATTGACTGACTGATTGATTGAGTGGTTCTGATTTTGATTTGATTTGGTTTGATTTGTTATATACAGAGTGTGCCCTTGGTACCTCTCCCAATTTTTGCGTATTTACAGAGTGTGTTCGTTTACCGCTTTGCTTTGGGTACTCTTTCAATTGTTTTTTAATGTTTACGTTTAACATATACGATTACATTGATGGGTAGGTTTTATAGAATATATATATAGTATTTACGAGAGAGTATTTTTATGGGGGAGAGAATTAGTAAAATCAGCGAACGAAAATCAAACCTGCTCAAACGCCCACAAAGCCTAACATTCTTAAGATTAACTTCTTCTTCATCATCTGATCTTTTGATTCCATTTTATGAATAATTTCGTTTTCGTTTTTTTTTTCGGATTTTCTTCTTATTCTCTTCGATATCGGATTGGATTTATGTTGAAAGTCTGAATGAGTCTATTACAATGCGAATACAACTGCAATTTGGGTTCCAATTGTTACAGACCTCTAATCTATAGATAGATTTTATATAGTGTTTTATCGGAGTAATCCCACTGGCTAGTGTTTATAGGGGCGTTTGGGGGGGGGGGGGGGGGGGGAAGCGCGGGCTGTATGGTAGGGTGGGTGTGAGAGTGTGTGATTGTTTGTGTGTGGGTGAGAGACAGAGAGAGATATAAGAGATATTTGCTGGCTGTCTAATCGCATTTGTCGGACAGGACATCTGACTCTGGCTGTATGTGAGTGGGCCTCCGGCTCGAGGGGAGGGTGGCATGGCGTGGGCTGCTCCGTATCCCCATGGCTCTGACTCACGGTTCAGCCGGAACAAAACCCGACCGACCCACCGCCCAGTTTCGGAGTCCCGAGTCCCGTATCCGACCCAACAGTGGGCACCCCAGGGGGCGATTACTCACGGTGTACTTGCAAATCGACGGCGGTGGCAGGCAGACGCTGCCCACTCGCATGATCGTAAACGTCGCAGATGTAGCGACCCGCATCCTGAGGCCGGAGCGTGGTCAGCACGAGGACCTGACTGTCACGACGGGCGCCATTCGGTAAGGGGCGGCCATCCTGGCGATACCATTCAAACTGCAACGGAAATGGGTGGGATCAATGTGGGGTGGATCCATGTGGTGTATCACTGTGGATCCCTTACCTGAAGGTTGCCGCGCTCTTCCCCGTGTACGGTGGCGCTGCAGCGCAACTGGATGTTTTCGCCCTCGCGACGCTGATGCACCTCGGATTGTGGCACCTGCTCATATTCGGTCGGTGGATTGACCACCACCTGGGCGGTCTTGGTGGTGTTGCCATAGTAATTGGTAGCCGTGCAGCGATAGCCGCCGGCATCGGCAGGTGCGATCGACATGAAGCGCAGCATTTGGCCATCGATGCGCACAGAACTAATGAAAAAGATAAGGGATATTGATATTCCCCTATGGCTCTTTCGGGAGACACTTACTCTGACAGTGGTCGGTTATTGTCGGTGGCCCAGTGCACATCTTCTGGCTGGGCATTGGTCACTTCGCAATAGATCTCCACATTCTCGCCAGCATCGACACGCAGTGGAATCTTAGGCTGGAAGGTGATCTGTGGCAGCGGCAGCAGCACCAGTTCCCTTACCACATACGTAACCACATCATTGTTATCGTACGCATTGCATCGGTACTGGCCGAGGTTCTGCTCATGCACATATATGATCACTAGGCTATTGCGCTCGGTGTAGGCATTCGAGGGCAGGGGGCGGCCATCGACACGCACCCAACGTGTGACATAGGGGCCAAGGTCGCATGTGAGGGTCACATTCTCGCCGATGTTGGTGCGTAAGCGTTGGGGCTGCCCTGTTCGGGCTGGTGGCGGTGGGTAGTCGGTTTGGTAGGGTCCATGATCCACATCGCCATCATCTAAGGAAGAGGTAGATATTTTGCTGATAAGAATCTTCTTTCCAAGTCTCATTTCATAATCTCTTACTATCACTGATGTCTCCGCGTTTCGGCTGAATATCCACTCGAACGCTGCGCTCGTCATTGCCGGCCTCATTGACGCCCGAGCAGGTGTAGATGCCAGCATCAGAGAGGCTGACGCGATAGATCTTCAGGTAGGCCGTATTGCTCACAAGATCACGATTCACGCCTAGACTGGTCTCTGTCTCGGGCTCTTGGCCCTTGGGGCTCCACTGGACACTGGGATTGGGATAGCCACTGGCTATGCACTCCAAATTCAGTTCGTCGCCGTCGGTAAGACGTATGATCTGTTGGTCGGGCTTAATGACAACCAATGGGGCCTCCACCACGCGCAGTGAGGCCGTACCAGAGGCCTTGCCGACCTGATTCTCGGCCCTGCACTCGTATGCCCCGGCATCGGCAATTTGAATGTCATCAATGCTGTTGGATTGGATCGAAGGAAGAAGATAAAATATAAATGATGAAGGCTTATTCGCGGAGGAGGAGGTGTCTCAACTCACACAACATAGCCGCGTCCCATCTCCTTGTGGCGCGGCGAGAGCGGTGTGCCATCGACGCGGACCCACTGCACTTGGGGCTCTGGTATGCCATTGGCACGACAATAGAGCGACGCCTGGGAGCCGACCGAGTGGGTCTGCAGGGATGGTGACTCGATCTTAACGCTCGGCCGCTCCCGGGCTGCAAACAAGTAAATGATGGTGGTTGCACCGATTAGTATTAGGATCAGACTGTGTGGACCTGTCTTATTACCAACTCCACTCTTGTGCACTTGCATGTCGAAATCACATTAGTTTATAATTGTATTTCAAATAATAATAATCATAAGGTTAAGGGAAAATTTGGGGGGCAGAAGACAAAGATAGGATGAGACAGAGCAAAGGAAATTGTTAGCTCGAGAATGCTAAGACCTCTGCGGTTTAGTATATTATATATTCCAGGAGAACAGATCAAGGGTCAAAGATCACGGGTATCCCGGTGCTGATAATGGATAATGGAGCTCTGAATGCAATCATGTATGCCTTATTTCTTAAATTACCTATACAGTGGATAGGTACGAACGCGAATGAATTTGAATGAATTTGTGTGCATTTCTAATCAAATTTAAAAAACCGCAATTGTGTACTTTGCGTCCTTTCATAATTTTTTCTCTGCCTTTGCTATACCGGTATCCAACACGTTTAATGAGTAGTAAAAAAAATTGGATGACTTATAATAAACATTTGTATGAATCTTTTTACCTTAAGCTTCAATTCTATAGTGGAATTAGTTCTCAACGAAATAAGCTACTAATCTTTTATTTGTATAAATAATTTCAAGGGTACAAACTCGTACATATTCTTGTATTCGCATTTTTAGAACAAGGATATATAGTTCTCAAATGTCAAAAAGCCGAGTGAAACTGATTAAAGTGCACATAGTCACCAATTCATGGCTTTTTTATTTTTAAAAAAGTCTTTGGTTGTATATGGCAAATTCTAAGTAATAGAATCTGGTGCAAAGTACTAAATCACTGGTTCGACTAAATCTGCTATACCAAAACCTTACTTCCTTATTCATTCGAACTTTGCTTGTAACAATGCCATTAAATTCATTCAAGAACATTGCAGATTGAGTGCGTTATTTGCAAACCTCTACTATAGACGATTCATGAGAAGCATTTCTGATCTCTTTCTCATGCACTGGGGCTACCTTTGACCCACCGACCCCCACTGGTTGTAGAATGTATCACCAATAGTTTTATGACCTGACATGGACCCGTTTAAACTTACGTTCAATGTCGATATTTGTACTGGACTGATCGGAGCCGTGTATGTTCTCGGCTATGCAGGAGTAAGGGCCCCGGTTCTCGGGCCGGGCATCGTAGATGCTCAGCACATTACCGCTGACATGGACATTGGTGGCCAGATGGTCGTGCACCTTGGTCCACTTGATCGAGGGATACGGAGTGCCGCTGGCCTCGCAGGTGATGCTGTAGTCGCGGCCCTGCTCGATGGTGATCAGCTCTTGAAGTCGCACAATCACGGGACTTGAACTGCATTGAGAAACAGATTGTGGATCAGAATGTGGTATCAGGATGGATGTGGATCACTCACCTATCATCGGTGGGTGGCAGATCGTGACGCTCGATGTAGACGCGAGCATCTTCGGTGTAGTTTCGATGGGTGCGGAGATCGTAGGCGCCACAGGTATAGGTACCCGAGTCACGGACACTGGAGTCGCGCACCTCAAGCACATTGCCGCTGACAATGATGTTGCGCTGACCGCTCAAGGGATAGCCATTGAGGGACCACTCGTAGTGCAGATTGGCGCCGCTGGTCGACTGACAGGTCAAGCGGAAGGTGTCGCCCTCTACTCCGTTGTACTCCTCCGGCTGGATGTAGACGCGTTCGCGAGGAGGCGGCGATGGCGGGGCACTGCTCTGGACGTAGACGTGGACGTATTTCTCATCGCGATTGAGGCTGTTCTCCGCCTGGCAGCGGTACCGTCCTTCGTCAGATTTGCGTGGCGAGTCAAAGATCAAGTGGGTGCCGTCGGTGCGAGTCTGGGCATCGGCCTGTCCGTCGATGCGTGTCCAGGTCACAGAAGGCGTGGGATTGCCCTCCACCTCGCAGTTGATCTCGTTCGGCTGGTACTCCTCAAAGGTAACATGGTTGGGCAGGTCCACAATTCGGGCCGGCGAGCGCTGGCCTTCCTCTGCAAAAGGGAAATCAGAAAGTCACTATCGTCTCAAATCAATTGAAGGATTTTATGGGGGATTTTTGGGGCATTCTTGAGGAGATTCTTAGATACCGTAGCGAGCCAACATTTCCTTGGCATATCCTTTAGGTAGAGCCGCAGTGTCAAAGAAGTGTCAATGATTAGCAAAGAGGGGGCAGCGCCACTCTGGGAAGCGGTTTACTCACGTGATATGGTGACGGAGACGGTGTCCTGGTACACGTGCATTGTCTCATTGTTTTCGGCATGGCAGACATAGATGCCGGAGTCGGTAATCTGCAGGTTGTACAAATGCAGAACTCCTCCCTCCACTTCGGAATCTTCGGGCAGACGGCTGTTCTGTTTGTACCAGCTGACGACCACGGGATCCTTTAACAAGAATATGATTCAGAATACGAAATCAATATTTTATAGTATTCCCTGGTGGATAATACTCACATTGTTCCATCGCATGTGACCACTGCAGCTGAGTGTGAGAGATCCTCCTACGGGCACAATCGTGATCTGGGGCCTGGCTATCGACACAATGATCTGGGTGCGTCCATTATCTTCCGGCTCTTCCGGTTCCTGTTCGGGCTCGTTGCCTGTGTCTGTATGGGGATTGGGAATTGGGTTTCACAGGATAGGCACAAAAATAGATTAGATATTTGAATACGAAGCTATTGAAAGTCGAGTTCCCACAATCTTAGTTCTTTTACGAGGGATGTTAGTGACATTTGGTTGCGGTTTAATCACGCATATTTTGTGGCTGGATATTCAGGGGGGAGCACCTATTCTATAATTTAGTTTTTATTGGGGGAAAGGTAAGCACCCGCTACAGAGGTGTAACTATGACAGAGATGGCCATCTCGGTTGGTGGGTTTTGGTGGTGGGGTTAGGTGACAGAAAAATCGTCAAAATTACTTGTATTTACTATACATAGGATCTTAAACGCACATTATAGCGAGTAGTGAACGGAACCCAAACTCTGGTGCGTATATTAGGACCGACATATGTATGTAGGATGGAAGGTTAGTACATATATACATATATGCATATAAAGTAAAGTATAGCGACTAAAGTATTCGACTACTTGAGCGTGATTCCAGGCCGATCGTTGCTATGGTGGCTTTATGAATGCTCTGGCACACACACAAACAGAGAGAGAGTTACGAGAGTTACAAAAACTACATGGGGAGGTAAGAAAAAGTAAGACATATAGACTATCTAGTGCTACGTGGATTTTAGATCACCGAAAGATCAAATACTCGCTTGTAATCACAGCGAGAGTGGGAGTATTAGAAACTCCTACATCAGCAGAGCGAAAACACTAGAAACACGCTCATCATCTGAGTGAGAACATCAGATATTCGCTATTACTGTGAGCAAGATCATTAGATACTTGCTCATCTTCAGCTTTAAATACTTATACTTATACATCATCACAGCGAGATCATCAGTTACTCGCTCAAAATCAAAGCAAGATTATTAGATACTCGCTCATCATCATTACGTGAACTAGAGAGCGCGAGCGAGTTCAAGAGCTACACAGCGAGTGAGATAGAACATATACTTAGGCTTATACAAAGATGACAGTCAGAGTGTGAAAGTGAGAGAGAGGAAGCTGGTTCTAACCCAAGAATACGACGAGTACAAGTACAATAATTGCAAAGTACTTCGGGGCTTGTGTTTAGGTCATAGATGTAGTACGAGAACGAGTACAAGTAGTTAGCTTTGGTCTAAACATATATATTATATGTCTACACAAAAAACATAAATTATGTAGATATCTATGCACTATATAGACTAGAGGAGAGTGTGTGCCATCTACAACAAGTATTTCGGATTATTTTCAGTACAATGTGACAAGTACGAATATTAGGCAAAAGAACAATAGAGTTTGTTGGTTGGTTTGTTTTTGCTTGTCTGATGGTTCAGTGGTTGGTTCTGTTGAATGGGGCTCTGCATCGAACCTCTCAAGTGACAGCCGTATCGCAGCTTGGTTATATTTCCTATGATTCTGTTGTCTTTATATATCTGGAGGGTGTCATTGAACGAGATTGTCTCGTTGGGCGCAATATTGAACCAAAAGCCGCTGCAACAAAATCCCCTGCTTATATCACATATCTTGGGTGGTTCTTCGATAATGGGCGATGTGTCTAGAATGTGGATGGATGGGATGTTTTTTTTTGTTGTGGTGATTTTTCAGTATTTCTGGTATACGAATTTCGAGTTTTCCAAAAGAATTTTACAAATAGAATGCGCTTGATAGTCGATGGTCCGACTCTTAGATACCCGATACTATTCAGATTGATTTTATTTTATTTTTATTTATTCTTTAATCGTTAAGAGAATATATATTTGGGTAGATGTTTTATTTTTAGACTGTATTCAATTTAAGAAAAAAAGTGTAATTTACCCAATCAATTTTATGTGTAGTTTGGTATCGCCGTTCGCAAAATGAACGATTTGATTTTGTACCGAAAAATTATTTCATAAAAATCGGTCGAACCGCTTAGGAGATTCTAATACATAACATTTTATCTGTTCCCATTTTTCTTTACACTTTATACCCGATACTCGAAGAGTATATACTAGAGGGGTATATTAGATTTGCGGTGAAAGTAAGAGCTAGAGCTTTCGTATCTCCAAAATTGAGGATGCCGCAGACTTTGATCTTTTGTGCGGGCGGAAGGGAGAGAGGGAAAATTTTGAATTATACTTGTCACAGTGTGATATTATAGAAGTCTGGATACAACATTTGGTAGCTCTACCTTGTATGGTCTTTGAGAAATAAGCGTCAAGCAGGACAGACGACAGACGAACAGACAGACATGGCTTTATCGACTTAGCTATTGATACTGATCAAGAATATACTTTACCCCTATACTCTTCGCGTACCGGGCATAAAAAATGTTAAATTTAATATTTATTGAAGTGATTTTGTTACCTTGGGATCTCTTAGGATATGGACAAACAGACAGATACAAAAATAAGTAGAGACTGCGAGTATTGGGCATATTTTAATTGATATAAGGAAGATCTTCTAAGGAAGATCGATTAAGGAATATCACGATTGATAGGTGGGGTGGCGGGCAGTGACGGATGGATGAGAGTTCAAGAGAGGGACAAAAAGATGGCAAGTCAGAGGGAAAAGGGAGAATGTGCGGGTGGATCATAATGGATCGTATGCAGCAATGTAGAGGCCGTCAGCAATCGCTCGTGGATTGCACTGTGGATATCCCCATCCGATATCTGACTTACCGATTTCCCGACAGAGTTCACCCTTGAATCGGGGCTTGCACTGGCACTCAGGGTAGCCATTGCTGCCCAGACGGCAGCCATCGCTATTGTCCGCATCGCAGGGGCACAACCGGCAGGCGCCGTCGGCGTCGCGGTAGTGGAGCGGGGCACAGGACTCGCATGAGTTTCCAGTATACCCGGCAGGGCACTGACAAAGCTCAATGTCGGTGGCAGCTTGGCCATGGCCGGGGGAGGCGTAGGTGACGGCGGACTCGAGGATGACGTCGCCGATGGAGGTGCGGGTGGTGGGCACCTTAGGCGTGGCACGGATCAGGATGTGCTCAAGGTCGGAGAGGACGGTCATGAAGTCACTGCGGGTGGCGGGTACAGTGCGCCCGCGATCCTTGCGCTGCCACTGACCGTCCTCGTTCAGGCGGACCCTGTGGAGGCCGTCCGGCGACTCCTGATTGAGCGACCAGATCAGCGTCAGACCGTTGCCGATAAGAATAACATCCTGGCCGGGCTCATAGCGGCCGTACGACTCCACTCGCAGTTTGTACTGCAGTTCGCCGCCGTAGGAGTGCAGCTGGTTGCCCAGCACACTGCCGCGCAGGCTCCAGTACTTTGGCAGGTAGGAGGGGTGCGAGTACGTGTACATATTGGTGGCCACATCAAAGTCGAGGTTATTCTCATCCTGGATCTCCCCGGTCTCGTCCGTCAGCAGCGGGGGATTCTTGAAGAAGTCCACGGGTATCAGCTGTCGGTAGAGTGGCGCCGAGCGGCACTGTGTCGACTGTCCGGAGCAGTAGCACTCCTTGCAACCATCCGGATTGGCCGCAGACAGACCGTAGGTTCCTGGTCGGCACTGGTCGCACCGATCCCCGTTCACATTCGGCTTGCAGTAGCAGTAGTTGCCCTGGCAGTTGACCGTTCCCTCCGCCTGGCACCAGCTGCTGCAGTCGCTCGTCTGGTTGCCCGGCTCCAAAGGGCGGTACGGTGGCTGTGGGTCCCCTCCATCCGGCTGGCAGTCGTATGGGGTGCCGCCAGTGGCGTCGCCCACATATCCAGCAGCACAACGATCGCAGTTAGGTCCTTCCGTATTGTCCGAGCAGTTCTACGAATGCGAGAGAAGCGTTTAATTATTGATACCGATCTTAGGGAGCGGAGGAATGCACTTACTATACAATCGCCGGACTCGGCATCGCATTGGGTCGAGTGCCCGTTGCATTCACAGGGCTCGCAGAGACCCAGATAGAGGCCAGAGACGTCATCGCGCTTGTAGCCAGGGGCACAGGTCTCGCAGGAGAGTCCAATGTAGCCGGTGGGGCAGCGGCACTCCTCAACCTCGTATGCACGCTGTGTGCCCAGCGGTGTGGCGGTGGCCGTGTCTAGGGACACCTGCTTAAGAGCACCTTCCTTAGTGCTGGTCGTGTAAGTGGCCTTGATGTAGATGGCCGTGATGTTGCTGAGGGCCATCAGGGTGTGCTCGCGATTGGCGAACTGTCCGTCGCCGCGCTGCCAGGCACTTTCTTTGATCTCCACCGAGTACGAGCTGGCCGTCGTAGGGCTAACCGGGGATTTGCGGTAGTGGATGAGCAGTAGATCCTCGCCGCTCTTGATTACCACATCGGGGGCACTGTTGCGTGACATCTGGCCGCCTGGCAGGGGGCTGTAGCTGAGGGTGTAGCTCAACTTGCCACCGTACGAGACCAGTTTGTTGCCCAGAAAGACGGCCGGTAGGCTCCAGTAGAGTGTGTCCGCCCCGTGCTCCCCTTCGGCATTGAAGCTTAGCTCGGATCCGTAGGTGGCAATCTCCAGGCTCTGGGCCGTGGGACGTGTGTAGTCGCGCACCAGCTCGAAGCCATGGGGTGCCCGGGTGCGGCCGAAACTGCTGGTCACCTGATCACGGTTCCAGGTGGTGCTGCCGCATCCCACCTGGTGGCCGCTGCAGAAGCACTCGATGCAGCCAGTGTACGTGAACGAGTTCAAGTGGAAGCTATTGGGGGCACAGCTGTCGCAGTGCTCGCCGATGACGCGATCCTTGCAATGGCAGCTGCCGTCGGCATATATGCTGTAGGTGCCGTCCACGTTGCACGACGACTCTGGGGTCTTGTGGCAGCTGCCGCCCGGGGCCAGGGGGTTGCCCTGGTAACCGGCGGCGCAGCTCTCGCATCGTTTGCCCGCGTAGCCCTCAAAGCAGTTGCAGAGCACTTCTCCGTCGGGACGGAGCTGGCAGCCGCTGGCAAAGTTGTTGCTGCCGCTCTGGGGACAGGGGCAGTCGCGGCAGGGGATTCCGCGCCGCGGGTCACCGTATGTGCCTGCGGGGCACGGTTCGGGGGTGAAGGGCACACAGTGGCCCAGCCAGGCGCCTCCTGGCTGGCGCACATATCCGGGGGCACAGCTCTCACAGGAGTCGCCCACATAGCCGGGCGGGCATGTGCACTTCTCCACGAGGGAGGCGCTGCCCAGGCCCTGGTCGACGGTGCCGGCCGAGTCGAGGGAGATGTTGATCAGGTCCACCTCGCGGGCGACGCTATCCAGGTAGCCCAGGCGGATGAGGATGTTGTCGACGTTGGCTAGAATCATCATGATCTCCTCGCGGGTGGCCTTGCGCCCGTCAGGCTTTTGCCAGCCACCTGGGAGCAGGGGCACACTCACCTTGTTGTTCTGCCCCGGCAGGGTGCGCACGCGGTGGGTGAGGGTGAATCGGTTGCCGGTGATGATCACATCTGGGCCGGACACTGGTCGTCCGCTGCCCATGTAGCTGACCTCGTAGCGCAGATTGCCGCCGTAGGACTTGAGCTGGCTCCCCATGTAGTCGCTGGGCAGCGCCAGATAGGGGGTCTCCCGACCGCCATAGTGGACGTTCGAGGCACGGAACTGGACGCCATGGTGGAGGGTGAGCAGGTCCTGTCCGCTGGTTGCCTCATTGATCACGATCTGGCGATAGGGACTGAGCTCCACGCTGACCACGCGATGCGACAGGATCGGCGGCTGGATGGCGTAAGAGAAGAGATTGGCGCTCTCGCAGGTGCTGGCCACCCCGAAGCAGAAGCACTTGATGCACTCCTCCTCGGAGCGTGCGAGCATGTTGAAGAACCCGGCCTCGCAGAACTGATTCCTATTCGGTGTGACCGTCACAATTGTGTCCGGAGTGACAAAGTGCGTGCCGCGGGAGTTGATGATCTCGCAGGAGTAGGCACCGCTGTCCTGCACCTGCATGTCCGGGCAGTGGAGGGTGCCAGTGCCAGCGAAGCTCTTTGATTCGCATTTCTCGGGCACATGGCCCCAGTTGAGGCGCCACACGATTGTCGGTATGGGTGTTCCGGTGGCAACGCATGTCAGATCGAGGGACTCGCCCTCGAGCAGACCCTTCACTGGTGGCGGAGGACGAATGGGCACGGGTTCCACTGCGAGAGAGTGTGAAGATAAATTATTATAATACAATCATTCGAATGAGTCTGTGAAGTTTTGCGAGGGTCTTCAGTCAATAGATTGTCCGTCAGCTTTCCCTTCAAGAAAGTGCAAGGATTGTAGAGAATTCTTCGGATACATAGAGTGATCCAAGGATGATCGACACAGATCCTACTTCTATCACCTGTGCCAACATTTTTGTTCGCATTATTTAGCAATCTTTTTCGTTTAAAATTGTACAAAATAATGAATTAAAATTACGTCTTTTAAAATAAGCCGATCGTGCAGAAAATTTATTTATTTATCGGATAAAATGATTTGTCTTTTGAAAGCCGCTATGAAAAATCTCTTAAAAAAGCAGTAAGCTGAAAAGCTATTTCTGTATGTATTCATATTCAGTAGATCATCATAGCTCATGTCTATTTACACATTTCCATATATTATGCACATAATTCATGTATGTTGCGTTATTTATTTGTATGCTTGTTTTGTTACATCTTTTGTTATTTGTTGTTTTATTCGCCACACACACCGAATCGGCTTTCCGCTAAATTGTTATTCGGAGCATTAAATATGTAATTTAAATATTGTAAGGAATGTGTTTATGAGTGTAAAAATGAGGTCCTCCCACGTCATTAAAATCAGATGAAAATAGGAAAAAGTGTAGAGAAGTGCAAAAGAATTTCAATAAGTGTAGGATTATGGGGGGGCTACGGCTGCCATTCAGTTGGCTTGGTTTAGAGGCCCAAGCGTCTTTTGCTGGGCATCCACGACCAGTTCATCGCCTTAGTATGGCCGCCCCCCTTCATTCCACAGAGGCTGCTACAGCAGCCACCAGCTAGCAATGGGCCAGTTTCAAGCGAGAAACTTGAACGTATTCCGGGGCCAATGCAGCGCAGCCCGCAGTGTGTGAAGAGTGTCGAAATTAGGCGCAAGAAGTGCTGTTCACGGTACTCCGGCGATAGGGTCACCCAGTGGACGAGCCCGAAGCAGGCCTCCAACTCCTGGTTGGTGCACAGGTTGTCGATCACAGCCGTGTCTCCAGATCATTGACCGTCAGCTGCGTTAGCTGCTCGGTGCCCACTAGGGGCAGGAAGTAGTTGCGGATCATCAACAGCAACTTGTGGCAGACATACTCCTTCGCCGGCAATCCTTCACCTGAAGGAATTGCTCGAAGGGTGCCCTTTTGCGCAGTACATCGCCATCGCCTTTGCCGTTGTCGCCGTTGCCGCCGTTGTCGCCATCGTTTCCACGTCCACATAGACTCTAGTCGCCGTCGGTGGAGGCAGACTGGGGATAAGGTGCTTGCATTTCCATTTTGGTATGTTTGATTTGCCGGAATTTTAACTTGTTTTTTTCAGGCGTTTTCTCAGAAAACACAGCCAATGCCAGTTGGAAAAGCGAGTCTTTGATCAGTTTCATTTACAGATGCAAGTCCATGTAAATTTGTTGCACCAAGTCTTTATCTTTAAGTAGTGTTCTATAAGGCACCGAAATGCGTGTGGGTATGTTGGAAAAGGTATATTCAATGGGTGAATCCATATTGGATTATCAAACGAATAAGTCTATGTCAGTCTTCAGTCATTAGATCGTTTCTCAATGGGGTTATGGGATACTTACTGCAGCCGACCTCATCACTGCCATCGGAACAGTCGGAAACCTCGTCGCACTGGAAGCTCTTCGGTATGCAGTGGCCGCTACGGCACTGGAACTCGCTAAAACGGCAAGGGGCACCGCTGGGCTCGGGATCGCAAGAGGCCTCATCGGAGTTGTCGCCACAGTCGTTCTCGCCATCGCAGCGCCAGGTGCGGTCCACGCACTTGGAGTTGTTGCAGAGGAACTGATTCGGCTGGCACTTGCGTCCGTGGCTGCAGCTGTGCTCATCCGATCCGTCCGAGCAGTGCGGAATGCCGTCGCAGATGTTACTCTTGTCGATGCAGTCGCCGTTCATGCACGTGGCCTGGTACTGGCTGCAGGCTGTGCTCGGACGGGCACCCAAGTCATTATCTGTCGGGATGAGAACAGGGATATAGTGAGTAGTGCTAGAGCTTAGGGAAGGACGTGGGCCTACTGGCTTACCAGGCCCAGAGCCATGCGGCATAGGGATTGGATGGGAGAGAGAGAGAAGAGTTAGTTAGCATTTATTCCCCCAAGGGGCACAAAGGCCTACCTAGACCGAAGAACTCGAGGTCAATGTGCGGCACGGTGCCATACCGAATGCGACTCGACTTGAGCTCCTCGTACTTGTGCTCGCCCCAGGCTGCATGCGTAATTGAACGTGATTGATTGATTGTAGGACCCGCCCGTAAGAGTTATATCCCCCCACTAAAAGATACTTACAGCGTTCGACGGTGAGGTGAACGGTGACCTGCTGTCCCTGCTGGTAGCTGGGATAGCCGACAGCCTCGCACACATAGGTGCCAGAGTCCTCCAGCTGGTAAAAAAGAAAGTGGAGATGAGGCTTACGATCTCTTCTAGAATAAGGATTAGGGACTTACGCGTATATTGGGTATCTCCAAGCGTCCGCTCCGGTCGGTGAAGCCTGGGGGCAGTGGCTGGCCGCCGGGTCGCGTCCAACGGACCTTGGCGCGGAATGGTCCTTCGTCACGGCAACGGAATATCACCTCGCGACCTACACACGAGATATACACAGCAGAGAGAGAGAGAGTTAGAATGATCTGGAATCTAGGGAGGGGGGAAATACGTGCAAGGGTTAAAAGGATTTAACAAAGGTTTCAGGCTGGATAGTTCAGTGGTTCAATTTCGACTCAATGTACAACTCCTTTTCTCGAGCCAATGGTTCGTGCCGGGTGGTGCTGGTGTTTGTGTTGGTGTTGGGCTGCAGTACCGTGTGCGGATCGATGTCTATTACATATATTGTACGTATACATAGATGCATATAGAGTGAGAGAGTACGAGTAGTTAGGCCGACTTACCCTCCCTAATATATCCTGCGGGTTTTGTTTTACATATTATGGGTTATGGTCATTTTTGGTTGTGGGTTAAGCATTTTAAAAGTTATAGTAATGGTAGAACATTATGTAGATTCGAAGAAACGTAAAGAACATAGAACGGCAAAACAATGGTTTGATTGATGGCAACGGCAGATACTTACGCTCCTTGATGATCTGGCTATCGGGATAGGTCTTGAGATTCAATTGACTGGTGGTGCGGCCTGGCTCGTTGGCTGCGGATTCAAGAGATTCAAATGTTAGTTCTTTGAGAGAATGATATTTGGACACAAGTTTTAGTTGATGTTAGCGAGGATCAATGATCACACAGATGATAGATAGAAGATTCATAAGTATGATTAGATGCGATAGCCATAGCCTTTAGCTTTTCTCAGTTAGTATCTACGTTTGGAGGTGTGAGACGACAGTTGATGTCCTTCGGGGCCTTTCAGTGGTACGGTTCTTTGGTTCTTTTCGGGTCGCTGGCGACTTACGCTCGATCTCGTTGCTGATCAGACCACAGTCCGCCTCATCGCTGCTGTCGTACGGACAGTCGACCAGCCCATTGCATCGCAGTCCCAAGGCAATGCACGGCCCATTCTCGCACCGAAATAAGGTCGCCGGACAGATGATCCGTAGTGGGGGGCTGCTCGTGGTCGATGGACTGACTGTTGTGGTGCTGGTGCTAGCGGCGCTAGTGGCACTTGTGTCAGCTGTTGTATCGGCCTCATGATGACGACCTTATGATGGCAATATGCGAGCGTAGTAGGCACATGATGTTGATTGATGTGATCGGGGTGATTGGAGGGAGGAGGTCTCTCGCCCCAGATGGATTTGGGAGATGGGTGGTGGATACTTACCGCAATTCTGCTCGTCGGAACTGTCCTGGCAGTCGGTCTTGCCGTTGCATCGCACCGTGGCGCTCACGCACTGGCCGTTGTTGCAACGGAATTGGCTCGGCAGGCACTCTAGGGAGCCGCCGCACTCCAGCTCATCGGAACCATCGCGGCACTGTGGTATGCCATCGCAGGTGGACGAATAAGGCACACAGTCGCCGTTATGGCAACGGAATTGATTGGAGGCACAGCCTGTTTTGGGTGGCAGGGGTAAAGATATACGATAATTAGTTGTGGGTACAAGTTTAGACAGGGGGTAAACTGCTGAAATGTCTGGCTAACATCTGGAGGAGTAACCAAAAAGTAATAGGTATCTCAAGAGTGCATACACATGTTTGGAAGCATGCCAAAAGCGGGGGTCTTAAAGCGAACTTAAACGGAAATCATAAGACATAAGAAATAAGAAATAAGAGACTTAAAATTACATCTAAAGGACGCAGAATATACCTCTAAAACTACTTTTTTTTAGAAAATCAAAAACAATAGAAAGCTCTTTATTAACCAATGCAATTCTGTTCATCGGAAAAGTCTTTGCAGTCGTAGTAGCCATCGCAGTGCTGTGTCGCGTTTATGCAGAACTGTCGATCGAAACACAAGAACTCATGATCCTTGCATTCAGTACCTGTGTGTGGCTTGTGGTGCATCGTGGTTGTGGTCATGTGGTTGAGTGGTTTTATGGTGCAGCAAAATCAAAATGGCATCACACACACACAATGAGAGAAATCAAGGATCAAAGCATAATAATTGAGAATATAGAAGAGAGTGACAGTAAAAATGAAAGTGAGAGTAAACGTGAGAAAAATGTAGAGAGACGGAAAAGAGAAAACACACAGCAGAGATTAGCAAATGAAAAATACGATTATACATCGGATATCAAGATGCCTCCTGGTGCAGAAGCCGAACATGTGATTACAGATACAGATACGGATATAGATACTGTGCTCAAATAAATCAAAATTAATACAGAGATCAGGTTCCCGGCCAATAATCCTTCGCGTCGCCTAACTTAATAATATTTTTCTTTATAATATTGATAGCTTCCCAGCAAACCAAATGCTCAAAAATGATATCGCACACGAGTCAAGTGCGAGACTTAACCCGACAAAACACTTGCATTTGAACCCGCAAATTATGGAAATATGATTTTCATATCGTTTAGCTTGTGGCTGTGAAATTTGGTCAGATTTGCTACATCGCGTCAGGTTCTAACCTCAAAAAGCAATATGGTCAAAATATTCTGGAAACTTATTTTAAGAATTCATCGGATTTGCTTGAAACTCGTTTCCCGGGGGTCGCTGATTACAAATTTGAAGTCAGTTTTCCTGTTTCGGGATGTATCGAGTTATTTATTTTCTTCAAAAGGGGAGAGATATGGATGTAGCAAGGTCGGAGAGTTATAAGTTTTAAGTTAACCCAGCCATATTAGATCCGCCGTTTTGAATTTTTTTTAAATGACTTCAAATTCGTAATTATTGACCCCGAAAACCTTCTAGTGAATATGAGGAATTTTTCAAATAATTTTTCAAATAATTGTTTACCATATTTCGAGCATTTTAGTTTTTTCAGGTTTCACAGCTTGGACTCGTGTGCAGGGCCCTAAAATACTTAAGGATAGGATACTCTGGTCAATCGCGCATGACACTTCTTTTTTTTGAGACTACTCAAGGAATTTGACTGAATTCTGATATTCCAAATGAACTCATTTGAAGCATTATTTTTTTTTTGTGGGAAGCATGCTCTGGTATTCATGATCGTATTTGCTTGATTGATATTATCAGTAATCGTTTTGCAAGAAGTTAGATTATACGATAGTCCATTAGTGATGGACAGGAGACAGGCATGCATCTTTATACCCATCCCTAGATGATCTGATCCATTTCCTGCTTAAAACTAATCCAAGATTGAGAGATGTTATAGATGCGATAGATCACCACACAAACCAAATGAGATACTATGTGGTGAGACATTGGACGCTTTGACAGACACATGAGGAGAGAGGATAACTTACAGTTGGCTTCGTCGAAACCATCCTCGCAATGACGGCGACGATCGCAGCGCTCATTTTCCGAGTAGCACCTGCCGCTAGGGCATGTATGCTGCGGACAGGGCAGGATCGGGTAGTGGCTCGATGGTGGTGGTATGGAATGGTGGCAGCCATGCTCGTCCCTGCCATCGCTGCAGTCGGACACACCGTTGCAGCGTATGGAGTGATTGAAGCACGAATCGTCGCAGAAGAACTGATCCGAACTGCAATCGGCGGCGGTTAGTCGTGTGGTGGCTATGAAGCGCAAGGCAGAGGCAGGCCATGCATTTTGATGGTGTTGTGGAATGTGGTGTATGTTGTATTTTGTGGTGTTTTGAGGTGGTTTTTGGTTGAATATTATTTAAGAATAAAGAGAGAGACAAGAAAGCAGAATGAGCAGGATGTTTCTTCTATTAATAATTATATTTAATACTTATTCTTATTATCCTAGCATTACACTATGTATTATATACAAACCTGATCCATTGTGGAAGATCTTACAAACTATATAAAGATATATATACAAACTATGGCATAATGAAGGGTCTGGGAGGTGTGTGTGTGTGTGTTAGAGACTTTGGTTACCATTTCCAATACAATTGACGGGAAACTCGTCTGACCCATCCCGACAATCCTTCCGATTGTCGCAGTACTGCCTGCGATCAATGCACTCGAAATTCGCACACTGCCATTGCAGAGGCTGGCAGGATTTGGATATGGGCAAGCCCGCAGCGCTTCTTACATCTTTGTTTAGTGTTGGTAGTTTGTGTGTTGGTTGGTGAGTGTTGGTGAATGTGTGTTGTTGTTGGTGGTGGGTTGATCATGGTAGTTGATGTGTTGGATAACGGAATAATGGAACGATAAGAATATCAAACGATGAACGAAACGTATCAGAGAAATTATTCTCACTTATGTGTTTTTTTAGCGGGTGGATAGCAAAAGTCTGAAGTGTAGGTCCAACAGCAGTAGCAAGGAAAATTGGCTTGAAAAAGGCCAAAACCCTTTTAGTACTTGAAAATTCGCTTTAGATATATTTGTTTAGTTTTTGAGTAGGATCTAGTACCGCTCTTTATCTTTGAAAAGTTCAAAGAGAAGCGAAAAATTATAGACGAGAAAGAGAGTGGAGGACAGTGAGAGAAGAAGGACTTGAAAAGTTGTTTCATCTTTTTATTTCGTTACCCGTAGGACAATCTCGTTCGTCACGGCCATCGCTACAATCCCGCTTTCCATCACAGCGGATCCTCCGATTGACGCAAGTACCATTGCAGGCCATCTTATGCCATGGGCAGGCGACCCTCGCTTGAAGTCACAGCAATACAAAAATAACATTACGATCACGGGACCAAATCAGAGGCAAAGGCAAAACTTGAAACCCCAACGAAATCTACAGAATCTACGGAATCTATCTACTCGTACAATTACTTGGAAGTGCAGTGGAAAGTGCTGCCCGGATGTGCAGTGGTAGGGGGATGGAATGTGTTGTTCATGTCTTACCGCAGTGGCGCTCATCACTGGCATCGGTGCAGTCAGCGTGGCCATTGCATCGCTGATTATCGGCAATGCACTCGCCAGTGTTGCAGCTGATCGATGCCAGGGTATTGATAATTATCGTTTATCGGATGAATGATGGTGAGTGTGATGGGGTGTTGTGTTTTGTGCGTGTGTGTTTGTGGGACCCATTACATGGAAGAGTAAAGAAATAGTAAATGTTATCCTACGTCGCTGAAGGAGTTGGGGATTGGGGCTGTGCAAGGAATGGGGATGGGAGGACAAGTCTTACAGATATGCATCGTCGCGGCAAAAAGTACAGTTGCGCTCATCGCTGCCATCGTTGCAGTTGGCAATGCCGTTGCACAGCTGATCTCGTGGCATGCAATACTCGTCACATTCGAACTCGTTCTCTAGACAATGCTCTGTGGATGATGATGGTATATGGTATATGACTGATACTGTAGATGATATGTTGTTTGTTTTCATGAGTGTTAGCTGTTTAGTTTTTTTTTAATTTTCAGGCTTGTGTTGCACCTGTAGCACCATACTGAGAGAGATTCTCTCTCGATTTTTTGTGGAGGTTTGCTTTTACCTGTGAAGGCCGGGCAATCGAGCTCATCCGTCTCGTCGCCACAGTCCGTATAGCCATCGCACTTCTTCTCTAACGGCAGACACTGACCCAAGTCACATTCAAACTCAAGGATATCACATTCATTCAATGGATTGTTGTCCGGGTCTGTGTCTGTTTTTGTGCGAGTATTTTTCGTGTTTTGTATGTTTTGAGTTTCGATAAAAGATAAAAAATATAAAAGAGAGATATGTTATGCAAAGTTTGGAGTGTCAGAACGCCGTCGGGATAGGCTCAGAGTAAGTGGGTATGGATAAGCTAATGGATCAGTGGGTTCTACCGTAGTCGACGTCCTCGTAATTGAACAGACAGTTGTACTCGTCGGCACCGTCGGCACAGTCGGTGATGCCGTTGCAGCGCTTATACCCCGATATGCAGCTACCATCGCCGCACTGGTACTGAAAGCTCAGGCACTCGACGCCCAGGCGGGTCTTATTGAACTTGTCCTGGAAGTCTGTGGTCCGAAGGGGGTTCGTTGTTGTGTTTTTTTGTGATGGTTGTGATGATGATGGTGTGTTGCAGTAGATATCAGATATCAGTATCAAGATCGAGTTGGGTGGCAGAGTATCAGCAGGAGCAGGAATATCAGGATTGTCAGAGTTTTTTTTGCAGAGAACAGGATAGATATACGTATATATATATATTTACACAGGACACAGGATAGTAAGGAGAGCGTGTACAGCGCGTACAGGAGCGTACAGGAGCGTAAAACGAGAGTAAAAGTCATGTGTGAAAAGAGATAAAAACAGAAAGTAAAGTTAGAAAACCAAAGTTCGATACTTTGTGAAAGGTTTTGACAGGAATAGAAATAGGAATGGGAATAGGAATATAGATAGGGGTAGGTAGGTATATGGGTCTAGGGGTGAGTGCGTCTAGCGTGTTAGTAAAATCAACCAATTAGCTAAGGGCTACTTAAACTTCCAGATTATATTTATATTCAATCAACAAGAATCGTGGGATTAGAATGGGTCTCTCACAATTTCATTTTTGAATGAAAATTAGACTTTTGTGGATGTTGTGTGAAGAGAGTGAAATAGTGGGGGCATAGAAGTGCGATAGAAACAGAGAGAGACTGAAAAATGATGAGAGATTGTACTTACGGCATGCACTCTCATCGCTGCCATCGTGGCACTGAGATTTGCCATCGCAGACCTGCGTCTTGGGTATGCAACCGCCGCCGCGTTGACACTTGTACTGTGTTGCATGGAAAAATGAATGAGTATGTGTATGATGGTATGCAATGTGTATGTGTCTGTGTGCTTGTGCTTTTGTGTGTGGTACAGTGCGTGTCAGTACTATAAGATGGTGTAGAGTATCAAGTGGTACGAGCAAGCACTCAAACTCAAAATTCAGCCATCGATTGAAATTAATTATCGATTGGAATTGAATTTAGCCATCGATTGGCATTGAACGCTTGGCGTGAATCAACGCCTTCATATGAAGTCAAAATTGTGAGTGATCGATGTGATTTTTCGATTGTTTTTAGTTATCGATTGAAGTCAATCACCAATTCGAATGATTTTGAATATATTGATGTCATTTATCGATTTCAGTAGTTTTTAGATTGTAATTAGTTATTGATTTAAGTCATTGATTGGAATAAATTACCGCCTGCATACAGGGTTAGGTAAGATAAGGTAAGGTAATTCTACCTTTAATCAGGATAAATGACTGGAAACGTTCAGTTACTTCTAATCGATTTAGTTTTCAATTAAAATCTAAGGCAGTGCGTTATCGCTTGGAATAGCAATTGGTCTTCTGCAATATAATTGATTCAATGGAATAAAAAAAGCACTGTATGAGGGATTTGTGTGAATAGATGGATTGGGATAGATGGCTCTACGGATTGAGGTGGCTGTGGCTCACCTTGTCGCTGCTGCAGTTGCACAGAACGTAATCCTCGTCTTCGTGATGGCCACAGTCCGCGATGCCGTCGCAGACGCTCTCAATCGGTATGCAATCGTGATTGTGGCACGCGAATTCGATGTTTTCGAGGCAATTGCTTGCCCCTAATGATGGCGATGATGATGATGAGTAGGCTAAATGTAATTATTGTTTTTTTTTTTGTGGTGGTTTGGTGGTGGTGTTGATGTATGGGTGACACAACAAGGTATATAATCATGGCAAAAATAATTTAACAAGCCAGAACGAGACCGAGAGAGAGAGAGAGAGAGAGAGAGAATGAGAGGTGGTTGAAAAAAAGATAGCGAGTGTGAGTGGCAGTGGAAAAAGAAAGAACGATGTATGAGGGATATCAATTATAAAAAAATATATAAATTAAAAGCTAAAGTAGGTTTCAATGTTTCAAACATGGCATGCACTTCTTTGGTTAATCGGGTAACCGTTTACCCCTGTCTTCCGTTTTCCCCGATACACGTTTACGCGCTACCCTTCACCGATGCCCCAGAAAGTATGCTACATCCACAGAAACTACATCTATAGGAAGACACCTACTCGCTATCGTTGTTGCTGTTGAGGAGGTAGTTGTTATTGGGTTAGTGGTGGTGGCAGTGGCAGTGGCAGTAGCAGTGGGTGACGTTGGTCGTATCGTTACTCCTCCTCTTGGTCCTCCCTCAGTTGTGCGCCGCTCCAGCGAATCGGGGGAGAAGTCCCACGGCGACCGTGTGGTGACTCTGATCGTTGGCGGCCTCCGCGTCTTGGGTGGCGGCTGGTAACGCTCACAGTCCGCCTCGTCGCTCATGTCGTTGCAGTGGTAGTACCCATCGCATCGAAGGTGCAGCGGTATGCACACGTCCGTATTGACGCAGTGGAACTGATTGGAGGCGCACTTGTTCTGGGGATCAGGCTTGTTGTACCTACCCACCGGGAGGTACTCGAGCTCAGGCAAAACCACTTCGTTATCCCAACCCTTGGGCGTTGGTCGATGGTGGTCGATGGCGATGCCTATCCCGCCAACGTCCTCGCTGGAGAGGTCTGTCCACACATTTCAGGGTTAGCCGCATGCATCGGCCGCAGTGATGGATTTGTTATGGGTTATGTGGGAAGGAACAGGGGATGGGAGAGACAACCGCATGCAGACCGTGAGTATTTCAGGGGTTTTCAGGGGAGACATGCAAGAATATTTTATTGTAGTTGTTGTTGCGAGCCAATGATGACGTTGTTTGTTGTTGCAGTTGTTTCAGTTGCATTCGAGTTTAAGGTTTTGGTCCAATACAGGGTTGGCGTGCGATTAATCGATTAATTTTGTAGAATTTTTGTATACATTCGATAACCATAACCGAGAGGGGTTTCGTTGGGGAAGGGCCGGGGGAAGAGAAATAAAATGTTTGGTGTTAGAATTGCAAAAATCAAAGAGAGACACGGTAGAGAAATTTCTCTCGCTTTAGACACACTTATCACTTATCGCATACAGCACGTAAAGCAAGCGATAGTTTCCGATAATGATTGGCTATCATTGAGAAGCGTAGAAGTATGAAACGTGGAAAAAGAGTGGAGAGTAGAGAGGTGCACACAAAGAACAAGAAAAACAGAGAAACGAATCACCATCACCAAGGATTTTAGTTACCCAAAAGAAGGAGCAGAGGAGTAGCAAAAGCGAAACAGAGATAGACAGAGAGAGCTCGATAAATAAACGCTTATCGTTTCTCGATAAATACACACACAAAGGCGCAGAGCCACAGAAACAAACAGAGAAGGAATCGAATCGGACTCCCCGGACTTACCACAGCCGATCTCGTCTGTGTAATCGTTGCAATCGTATATGTTATCGCACACCTGACGCATCGGTATGCACTCACCAGTGCCGCATCGGAACTCATCGAACCGACACTGCTCATCGTCATCGACTCCAAAGCCACCTGCACGACGATCGAAAAGCACTCGTGTTCTTTCTTTTTCTTTCTTTTTTATTTGTGTCAGTGTGAAGTGAGGTGTGCGCGGTGAGTGATTGGAAGATTGAAGGGGCAGCAAGGGGGAGAGGGGCATAGAGATGTTTACACTTACCTCCTTTCAGTCGCCGCAAGAGCCCCCGAGCAACACATTTGTTTTTTCTACAGATACTCACCCTCGCAGTAGCGCTCATCGGATATGTCCTCGGGACAATCGATGTTGCCATTGCACAGCAGCTCCTTGGCAATGCAGGTACCATCATCGCACTGCCATTTGTCATACAGACAGGCTGCGTCCAAAAGGGGAGAGTGAGAGAGAAAGAGAAAGAGTGGGGGACTTGAGCGGGGAGTGTGTGTGGTATTAGGGGGGCGAACACCTACGACAGCCCTCCTCATCGGAACGATCATGCGGGCAATCGGCGCGACCATCGCATCGATGAACAATCGAAATGCAGCTCAGATCCCGGCAGGTGAACTTTCCCTTGGGGCAGGTATACCGCAGCTTGGGCACAACTACTCCAAGCGGGGCGGGGCAGCATGGAGACAAAGATTGGGGTGGACAAAGGTGAATGGCAGAGTTGATGGTAGATGATGACTGGATGCTTGGATGATTAGATGATTCGATGATTCGATCACTGGCTACTTACTTCCGTCGCAGTGCTCTTCGTCGTCGCCGTCGCTGCAATCGGGCTGGCCGTCGCACTGTTGGCTGACGCTGATGCAGCGCGTGCCGTCGCGGCACTGGTACTCCATGCCACTGCAGGCGGCGGCTATGGTTAGTTGTTGGTTGTTGTTGTTGGTTTTGGTTTTGGTGAAGCAGGTTGTTAGTATATCGATATGGTTGTTGCAGTTATTGGAGGGGTAGGGGGCAAGCAAACACGGATAGAGAAAAAGAGAGATAGGTTAGAGAGATGATTTTGGTTAGTATTCTGCGTGTTTGTACACAAAAGAAGGACACCCTCGGCTTACAGCTAAAAGGTGTCTTAGCCTAAGGTTTGATCGATTTTATATCGGATATTAGCACTAGATACAGGTGTTTCTACAGATCATAAGAGTAGCTACACTTGGGGGGCAGCGGCAGACCCCAGCAGGTGTCTCTCTGTGCGCTTAGTACTTACGGCACTCTTCGTTCTCATCATCGCCGTCGGGACAGTCCACGCGGTAGTCGCAGCGCTTTCCAGCATCAATGCAATGTCCACTGCGGCAACGGTACTCATTCGGCTGGCATTCTGCAATCAGAAGATAGGAAAAGAAGCCATAAATAAATCCGAAAATACAAGAGTTTGATCTGTGTCTGCAATTAGATGACAGCCGGATGCAGTTTAACAAGCACTTCCTTCCAGGAAAAAAGTCCTGCAAACCCCAAACCCCAAATCTCAAACCCAAACCAGAAGCAGAAGCAGTACCAGAACCAGACTCTCGGCTGACACTTCATTCAACTTGAAAGCAAAAGTTTGTTAGGTGTTTTTTCGGTGTTGTGTGATAGACAACCCCTTCCACACTCCAGTCAGAATGAAATGGTGTGGGGGTATGGGCATGGCCCAGCAGCAGCATCGTTAGCCGCAGTTTCCTGTGCATGTTTCCAGCCAGCCCCTTTTTGCCCTTTTTGCCCTTTTGAACCCTTTCCGCTGCCGCTTTCTCTTGCCTCTCTTTTCTCACTCGCATATTATTTCATACGGCAACAACAACAGGATGAAAAAATCAACAATTTAAGCAATTTTACAAATATTTTTAGATAATTTTTGTCGCCCTTTCGCCCGTCGAAAGTATGCGAGAAAATACTTTGTGACGCAACGCGGATTTGATTACAGAAAGTGCGAAGGAGACAGCAAAGGGGGAGGAGTAGAATGGATGACAAAGAGCGTGGGAGCAGAGGGAGCCGCGAGCAGAGGGCTAATTAAAAGCAAAGAAAAGTTAAGCGAACATTATAGGTGGAAGGAGGAGGAGGCGGTAATCAGAGCACAGCTTAAAGCCAAAAGCCAATTTAAGAGCAAACAATTAGCAGGGACTATACACGTACAATATATTAAAATAAAAATGAAGAGACAAAACTCCCTCTGGATAAGAGGAGGATACGACTATCAGGACCTAATACCCATGACTCATTCCCATAGATCACACGAATTCTGAAGGACTACATTTTCTAAAAGAGATTGAGTGAGTGATCTGCTTTTTTGAACCTCCTGGGAAACTCCTGGGAAATGTAATACAGTGCGACACGTAAAACCAGTAAAAAAGGGGAATGCAGTAAAGTAGTCGGAGACTGCGCAAAATATTATCCTTAATCTGCGAAAGGATTATTATTAAAATGCATTCGAGAATGATCCAATAGTGCAGAATTAAGCAAGACTAGCGTTAAAAAATTTGTAAAAAGTCGGAAAGCATACAAAAAACCATGAAACGGGCCGGCCTTGAACGAACTGCAAATACAGCGGCTTGTTCACAGTATTTTAAGTCTATACCTTCTCTTAAGATCACCTCCGTCACATACAGAAAATATTGCGTTCCGATGAGAGCATTAGATATGAAGGTCACCTGTATATTGCTTATCATTTCGGATGAATTCTCAGAAGAATAAATATGATCACGCTTTTGAGGGCACATTGAGCAGGCACATTTTGGAATTCAAATGAGGAAACCAGGAACAGCAATCAATAAATGTTACACAATACAAATTCAATTTAAGCTTTAGGGATGTTCTTCGGTGAAAATAATCAGAGTTAAATAATGAAAAAACCATACAGAGATGAGGAAATATTTAAAAAGTAACAAAAACATGTTCAATATGGTCGTCTCAGCACAGTTAGTACTTAGTATGGTCTCTTCATTTAAATTAAGTTGGTATATTTATTATCGTTTCTGAAATCGGATGAACAGATGCACGTTGGCTCTTGGCGGTGAATCGGAAATGCTGTATTGTTCCATACTTTCCAATGTATCACTGCATTCCATGCGAAACTTTATAAAAATATACATATGTACAAGCTTTAAATTACAGAAGCTTTCTGCAATCTTTGAGAAACCATTCGGTTACTCTCTGAAATCGCAAGATCCCTAAATTAGAAAAGGGAATCCGTCCCATAATATATAATAATATATATTAAACAGCATATCTTATGAAAATAAACATACATCTATAGAGCTTGTAACATTGTCTCTGGCTTTCGTGTAAATGAGTTTGGTTTGATGGGCGTTGAGGATGACTCCTAGGGGGCTGTGGCTGGGGCCATTGTCCTGCTCTAAATCAACAATTTGTCATCAGCAAAGGCCGTAGACCGACCATGGGCAGGCAATATTTGGGTGGCAGCTACCGAAACGCCTGTGTGCTGCAGTGCTGCAAACTTTTGGGGCCTCCACACAAATCGCCAAAGTTTTCTTTCTTTCAGCAATTTTCAACACGAAGGCGAGGAATTTCCGTGGCTACAATTTGACAATTTCATTGCGGACAGGCAAGCGGATAAACAGACAGACAGACAGACAGACAGACAGTCAGACAGAATGACAGAAAGACCGACAGACAGACGGACAGACGGACATACGGGAGGAGTTGAAGGCGCCTCAAGTCAATTTGCAAACAAAGCGAACAACAGGGCAAAGAAAGGGCAATAATATTTCTGTTATTTTTTGAGTGTTCCGGCTTATTGACATTAAAGATTCAAATAATGGCAGCCCATAGCTTGTTTGGGAGGGGGGCAGAAGGCAGTCCTGTCTGCAGCAAAAGGATTTCGGTTGCCAAACGGTCCAACTGTGTGGCAGGCAGGTGGCGCGAGACGGGGCTCCAATTATGTATCCAGACGTGTGATCCTAATCCGTTTGATGCCGAATCCTTGGCCAAACAACAAATTATAATCGGCAAGACGAAGACACAGGGGGAGCAGGGTTATTTTTCCACCTTTTGCTTTCCTTTGATTGAAAATTGGATGCTCCAGCGGTTGGGGGCATCGGCATCCATCTCATTCGACCCACACCTGATGCTTCATTGATGCCATTCTTCATGGTATATACATATATGTACATACATATTTCTTGTATATACAAAACGGCTTTGAATAGTGCTGTCAATAATTAGAAGATATTGGATTCTAACATGAATGCTACGGCTAAATCGAGAGTCAAGAATTTTAAGACAAAGAATAACCAAAACTAAAGAATGCTTTCTTATATTTATATACTGCCCTCTCCCTTGAAATACCGTACTCTCTTTTCTCGATTCCATAGATGTGCGAGCTGATATGAGTATCCCATGAGATCCATGCGATATCCATTGAATAAAGATCCATGTTTTACCTTATTCTGATCAAGCTGCGTAAATAAAAGGACTTCTGTTTACGCTGGTAGGTTCCCTCGGTTTCCGTTCAATCGGAATCCATCTCAAGTCATAAAAAATACTACTCTTTGATTCATGGCGTAACTGTGGGTACTTTCATTACCAAAGTTCTTTTGTTAAGTACTCTGATTGGGGTCTATTAGTCTGATTACTACGAACCGCCTGTTTCTTTTACAGTCCATGTTCCCCATTCTTTCAGGGAATTCTTTAATTTTCTTCTCTGCTGAATGCCACTGGCTCCGTCTCTCTGGATTGTGGCACCTTCTTTTTAGTCTTTCTTCGATGGGTGTCAAATGGAATTTCCTCTATTCGCTTTTCCCTTGAAATGGGATCAGCATGGCATTGCATGGCTTCCGTCTGACCATTTTTTTCTCCTCTGCATTCTCTGCATCCTCTGCATCCTCTTGCTCTTGAACTTTAAGCCAGGAGCCGTAGCCGGAGTCTGGAGGCGTCCCCCGTCACCCGTCTCCCGTCCTTTCAGTCCTTAGGAAAATTCCAGCGCGGAAAAAAAGCGCCAGGAAAGGAGAAGACAGAGCGTAAATTCGAGTCGATAATTGATATGCGGGCACATGGAAAACGCAAAAGCGCCCAACAAGCCAAAAGCCGCAAACAAACAAGTTAAAAGGTGGCACAAGAATCGGGGGCAGATGAGGCTGGATGGCTGGAGTACCGTCAGACAGCATCTGCCTCGCCTCCCTCTGACCCTCCTGTAATGTGGGGTTAAGCTAAATTTTCACTTTGCGGTGGCATCAAGTGTGCCACAAACCAAACAAGCAAGCAAAAAACAAAAATCGTCGGAAAATCCAGTTTGTGGAAGGAGGGGGAGTGGGGCACTGCTGCTGCTGCTGCTGCTGCTGCTGCTGCTGCTGCTGATGCTGTTGCTGCGGCTGCCGCTGCTGCCTCTTGTCGCTTAAGAGCAATTTTCGCGGCAAGCAGATTGATAATAGAAAGTATCTTTGATTTGATTATTGCTCGTTAGCGTCTCATCATCGTAGCCATCGAATCATTAACTCGCTTTATGCTTCATGCAAAGTGCACAACACAGCGACGCCCTCCACTCGAAGGCAGGACATTTTTTGGAGGGCAGATGAGTCTTTGCTTTGTCTAGTTTAAAGCACTCCTTAAAGTCCTTGGAGTCCCTCCCGCAGTGAACGCTCGTTGCTGCTGCCCTGCAAAACTGTTATTGCCATAACCCCATGACCCCCACCCGCCACCATTCTGGGGCTTTAATTAAGGCTTCGAGTGCTCAGAACTATCAGCGATAAGCCATTCGTTTCATTCGTTTTACGTCTATGACTAATCGATTTCCGTTCAACGATTCGACCGGTAGACTAATGGCTGAGGCATATCCTCCTACCGATGAGGATCTTTCCTGCCTCACATGTAATGAGTAATTGTCCCAGAAGGAGTGGGGCAGGAAGCCATATTCATGAATCGGATATTAGGCAGACAAGTTTGTCAATTTTCTGAATTATAGCATCTGCATAGTGTTCATTTAAGCCCATAGCCACTTTTGGAGGTATTTAAAGGGAATAGTAAATTCATGAGGTATTATACACAAGACATCCTTCAGTTCTTTTATGTTATTCATTCTGATGGCCTCTTGGAATGGGTACTTCATCTGTGAATGGTTCTGTCTCTTTCGAGATTGACTCGCATCCTGTCTGCTGCTGCTGCCATCGTTCATGATCATGTTCACTTGGTTATTAGCCTTCTCGCCCTGGCCATCCCTGGCCACCCTCCCCAGCTTGATGCATGTCAAGTGGCAGGCGGGAGAGATACTCACTGGATGACTGAGACTCCCCGACTCAGATGGATGCCTGGCCTGATTGATAGCTTGATTCCTATTCATATTCATATTCAAATTCATATGCACTCGGCGTTCGGCGTTTGGCGTTTGGC